AAAAAAGATTAATAATTCTTGTCTAAAACTTACTACTCCCTCCCGATGAGCGCCCCTCGGAAATGTTCGGTATAACGAATTTTAATGCCGCAAAGAAGGGCTCCGCGTGCTCCAGATTTCGAGTGCAGCAGATTTTTTTTAAATTTTTTATCGAAATTGCAATGTTTAAGAATTTTTTTGGCGGAGAGTTTGGTTTGATACAGCAATTCTATTGGGCGTGGGAAATTTTTGAAAAGAGCATGAAAAAAATGTTTAAAACTCTGTCAATCACTGGAAAATTGTCCGATTTACATTCGGTTTGGACAAGGTGGCTTGTTTTTTTGCGTAGAATTGATTTCTATAATAAAAAAGTAGGGGTGCCATTTGAAAAGTTCGACTTACGGGTGGGGCACCCCCCGCCCCGCGCCCCTCCCGCGGTTTGAGAAAATGTCAAATACGCCAAAAGGTGTCCCCCTCAATATGAACGAACACGTCTTTTACCGTTTTTCGAAATTCCGACGCGTTCGGCAGATATTCAAGGTGGCTCGTTTTTCGTGAGACACCCTGTATAATTCCGTTTGACAGAGATACGTCCAATTGTTAAACCGTGGGATCGAGCTCAAAATGCTGAAAGCAACTTGCTCTTAAACCGCTTAACTTGCCTGATGAGATACTGATGATGAAGTTGGTGATGGTCATCACGAGATCAAAACAGTATTAATTTTACAGGGAAATATAGCAGCGATTTTTTAAATTGGTAAGTTTTAAAAAAATACTTTCCACTTTACCCATAAAATTTAATGTTTCCTCTAAAGATGTGAGCGTTGTATCGCTTGCGTTCTGATCAGCACCATTTTCGCCTTCAATATCCGCTTAGGCAGTAATAGTTGCTTGAAGCAGTTTGGTCACATTCACACGGTTTAATTAAAGCACCAGCAAATTATTATCACTCTAATTATAGTGTTGCACTCTCGCTCAAACCAGCTAGAATTAAAATTTGGAAGAATTCACAGTTCTGTTCAAACAGAGCTCATTCAGTACGGTAATATATGTTTATCAAATAGAGTTTCACATGTTCCCGTGACGGTGTGTAGCTCGATAGGTTTGTTGCCTGTACGGAAACATTGAAGGCGTACTTCAAGACTTTCAGACTCTATCTATAAGGCCACACATCATTTACTGGTTCTGTTGAAGCAGCTATTTGAATTCAGCTAAAACCATTCTCCTTGAAAATTCAGCGTGTAGAAATAACAGCACGGAAATTGTGACGCGCGCGGTTTTATTCACATGAGACATTGTCTGCTCGTTGAAGCATGACCGACGTTAAATCCGTTAAGTTTTCCGTCGAATCTGTACTCATCAGCATTCTCCTTGGGTTTTTACATACGCCTATCGGTGCGTTAACAAAATGTGTCGCGTAAACTATATCCAATTTGTACGTTTTCTGGAAACTGTGTAATTTGGTGACGAAATATTGTGATGATACGTTCCTCTCTTCATAAATAAAAAATGATCAAAATAAATAAAATATAAGAAATATAAATATGTATGGATATCGAAATTGTGCCTTACCTCTACTCATTGCATAGGGATACTTGAGTAAACAAGATATAAATATAAATGATAAAAGTAATTAATAATAAGTTTTAAGCTCATGATAAGAATTTGTCTATGCTTTTGAGAAGCATACATTCGATACTGTTTAGACTAACGACCTATGTTTGCCATGAAAAAAATTTATATGACTGAGCAAGTTTAAAATTATGATTTGGTTTACTAACAATTAATATTGCGTCATTAAATGTATGATTACACGTATTTTTATCGCGGACAACTTCGGAACTGAATTTTCCCTCTTTTTCTCTGAATAATCAGAGGATTTGTGTGCTCTCTAGTCTGCAATAAACTACACTAATTTGGGTCCCCAAAAACAATGCAAAGGTTGGCAGTCTTTAAGGCGTAACGGATGAAAAGGGTAAAAAAAAATGTCCTCAAAGAAGATGGATTCATGAAGAGAGTCCTCTTTATGACACATTTTACGGCATTTTGATCCATAGTCTATTTTACGCACAAAATGTCTCAATGCTTTATTGCACTCATATGGATTTTCGGAACACCGTTTATTTTCATCAACTGTAAGTGTATTTGCAAGCTTCCGACTCCAGTATTTCTGATGCACGGACTAGCTTCAGACAATTCAACTTTGGACTACCTTGTCAGCAAAATTCTAGAGGTTTGTAAAATAACAGAATTTTAAACATCACATGCTTTTTGAAGTGTCAAATACATCCTCTTCGTAGAAATTGATGCATAAAGTATTTTTTGGATCTGCCTTCACTTCCATATGACGTCCATATGAAAAGTCAATCCTTTCTTCCTAGTAAATATTTTCAATATAAATTTATGACACCGGCGGGAAGCTTCTTTTGCTTCTAGGTTGGTGTCATTTAAATACCTAATGTCGGAAGGCTTTTTTAACATCGTTCTGTATTTACTTACCTACATTTCTTTACGTCCCTATTCACATTTTAATTTTATTTGTATGGTGTCTAGAAGTAAAGCAATATTATTTTCACAATAAATACATTGCATTTATACCTAGAATTTTTTAATACGACTAAAAACCTCGAGTCAAATTATCACAATGCAAAAGAGCAAGATGTTGCACCCGCATGTCACAGATCATCTTGGAGCAGAACTCAAAAGGTGACTTTTTTCTTTTAAAATATGAAAAAACTGCGCTAATCCCAGGCTTTTAAAAATTCATAATTTATTTTTCTAGAGGTATCCAGGCACTCCTATTCACAACTCGAATGCTTATTCTAATTCTTCCAGCTACGTTCCACTTAGTAGCCAAATTGAGGGACATCTTGGTGAAGAGTTTTTAAAATTCAACCATCAATACCCAAATGGCTTTCACTTGATCTGTACGTGCGTATTTAATAAACAATAATTCTTTCAGAAAATTCTTAGAATATTTGAACTGATGGTCTATGTTTTAAGGTGTGCCCCATCAAAAAAAAGGGGGGAAAAAAGGTCGATGAGCAGTAGTTGTGTTGAAAGAAACTATAAAAAATGACTAACAAGGGAAATAAACCAAGAAGCACGCAATCTTTTATTTTAGCCCATTTGTAAATCGATCTTTAAGAGTCAAATCCGTCCAGTTTTGAGCATTTGGTTGCGCGGACACCACGCTGCAGCACAGTAAAAGCACAAAATGAAAAGAAAAAAAATTAAAGTGCTTTGGAAATCATTACATTCGACACGAAACCACCTAAATATTTACAAAACACACATTGAGTTTCCCTTTAATACGTCTTTTTTTTCATCAATTTTGATGAGAATAATCCATGCAGAGTATGCAAACATTTCAAAATCATGAGTCGAAAAACGCTGACTCCGTGAGTTTAAATATTTAAGTCAAACACAGCGGAGCGGCGAGCTGCCAGTACGAAACGCGCATTGGCGCCTACAAACCTAACAGGGATACTTCACGCATTGCGCAATGCGTGAGGTATCCCTGTTAGGTTTGTAGGCGCCAATGCGCGCATAGCGCTGGACGCCCTCGCCCGCCGCGCCTACTGACCTACTGTGTATACAGTATGCAGTTTAGAAATTCTACCAATCAGAAAACACAACAGAAAAATTTTGTTGTTCAGGGTGAATAATATTAATTCCTCTTCTTATTTATTATACCATTCACTTCAAAAACGTGTTTTTCTAGGTTACTCTCAAGGAGGCCTTCTATGTAAGGCCTTGTACAGATTTATCACAACCACAGTGTTAAAAATTTCATTAACATCTCACCACCTCTCGCTGGATACTACGGTTAGTACTCAGATTTTTTTCATCGGATCGATTAATTTTGGTAAAGCAAACTTTAAAAAGAGGAGTGAACACAAAGTAAAAAAATAGTAAAACTCAGTTCACTTTATTTCAAAATTCATTTTCCAGGGTTTTAGTATCAACGAAACTTAAAAAGTTTATTGTTTTTAACATGCAGGGCACCACACCTATCCCAGTATGAGAGAATTTGCTGTAAGTACCCAAGTAGCAGTAGCACGGATCGCAATTAATTAATTGCATGGTAAAAGTATTGCCACTGTGTCGAAGTGTTGTTTATGTTGCCTATCCTCCGATTGAAGGGACACTTCTCATTGGGTTTTTTTTGCAATACAATTGGGATAAGTTTTGATTTTCATCGCATTGCAAATTGCGTATTTTTCTGACACATGGAACTTTTCTCATTGATTTTTTGAAATTAGCATTTTATTACCAAATGATGTAAAAGTATTGCAATTCCATGGTACAAAAATCGTAATAGCATTAAATCGCAATTATAGCTCAATATTTCCACTACAAACTGTGCTGCTTCGGTGCAAAGCACTATCGACCCTGCTCTTTTCAACCACTTGTTTGCGCCATCTCTAAAAATACGATTCTTTACCGTGAGTAGCAACTTTGACTGACCTTCTACACTGACTTACAACCATTTAAAAATTCCAGGTACCTTATTGTTCAACTTGACGGTCCCGGAAGAGAAATTGGTTGAAATCTTGTATTGGTTGAAATCCACGTCGAATCAATATAAAAACCCGAAGTACCTGGACCTGTACCTAAAATATAATGTATTTCTACCGTACATCAACAATGAGATCCGCACAGCAAAGAGCGACAGCTATAAGCGAGGCTTCTCGAGGTGTAAAAATATTATCACCATCGGTGGCCCTCATGACGGAGTCATTTCCCCTTGGCAGTCCAGGTAAATGGAGGGAATCAAAGGAACGGAAAATTCCTGCATTGACCAGGGGGGTGATTATTTATACTGATAGACAAGGCTATAGACAAAGAAGACAAAAGGAAAATGCAGCGATCCTCTATTATATTCTCAACATATTCCAAACTGTTTTTTTGCGATTTCATCGCACTGTTTACGCAAGGTAGAAATTGGCTAGAGCCCTCATTTTTGGAGTATCAACTCATCTCCAGTAGTCTTTGAAGGCGTGCTAACTAGTTTATGGATAAAAAAATTTTTGTGCCCTCCACATACCCTTAAAAATGCAACAAACACAATGGACCACTAGACAAGGTACAAATTTCAGCATTCCGATTTATGTTTCTTACACAAAATTTCACGTAAAACACGATGCGCACATCAAAAATTACCGAAATCAACTCCTTACGAAGATATTTAATTTTTCTTGAAGCGTGAATTCAAACCATCCGCTCATGAAAACTCAATGCTCTACGTGATTCACATCGCGCGCTAAACGTTATCATGACAGTCTCTGCGATATAAAAATCTGGCAACGTCAATCTTGACGCTTTGGCTCAGCTATAGCAGAAAGGTTTGAAAGAAATACGGTCAATTATTAATCGGGAGTTAAAATTACATTATGTTCTGTGGTTGATGGAAAATCTCCAGCTCAGACTCCTTCGAATTATGATACCTACGTTTTTTTTTAAGGGCATATTTCTGAAAATATTTTGATCAATTCCATCTAAGACATTGTGTAATTTTTTTTCAGTCATTTTGGCTTTGTTGACGCTTATGGTAATGTCATTGAACTGAAAGATACAGAAGCGTACAAAAATGATACTTATGGACTCAAGACAATGGATGAGGAGGGCAGATTGATTAACCACGTTAGAAGCGGCATCAATCACACGTCGTGGGTCAATGATGATGGCGTTATTTATGACTTTATCTTACCGTATTTAAATTAAATTCTAGGGATTAGTCGATAGTCATTCCGTAAAGTTTCACTATTTTTTTATGTACAATATTTTTGCTCCTTTCGTTCACTTTATTGCAGATTTTTAGCTTTATTACTGTTTGGTGGGTACGTTACTGATACTTCTATGGCAACAGAGGTCTGCAAATTAATTACTGATTTTCGAAAGATTATACTGCCTAGGGCCTCATGTTTTATCTTCACTCAGATCTAAACAATGATCATGAATTTGGATTCAGTCTAGAATACGTGGTCAGCTCCAAAACCTACGATTGACAATTCGAAAAAATGAGGAAAATTTGAAAGTGGATTGGACCTCTTAATAGTCTCATTAGGACAGTCAGTCGATATGAGTCTGTCAATATGTCATCGGGTTGTTTTGACTGTTTCCTGATTCAAGAAAAAGGTAAGATACTGATTCTTCCCAAGATTTTTATTGTTTTTCCCTTTTTTAAACCACCTTAAAAGCATGTATTAAGATGAACATCGGACTCAAACTCCGCATTTATCGACTTAAACTGAACAATTCATCAGGAATGTTTGGAATGAAAAAAATTTTAAAAAATGGTATGCTCACGAATTATTTCAAAGTATTACTGGAACCTAAAAACTGCCCCAGATAAAAATATTTTCAAGTAAAGGAAAATCAATAGAGAAATTTTTAACAAGCTCCCATATTTTGTCACATTCTCTTAGGTACCTCAGTGCTTAGAGGAGTTTGTTAACTGAACTGGCAATACCACTCACAGTAAAAAATGCAAAATAAAATACGTTCCCCCAATATATAGGAGGGGCTCGGAGGACAAGGCGCATAAATGCAGTTTTTGAAGAAATTGAGATATTCATAAATTCAACTAGACATAGTTAGAAAGTAAATTATGCACAAGTAAAATCCAACTCTAAAGCATCAAAAATTGAGTTTAAACTTCCTTTCCTTAATATCACCATGTAATTGGGAAACTTTAAACACGGATTTCATCTTGAAACAACAAAAGTTGCACTTATGCGCCTTGACCTAAGCCTCTCATATGACATTTTAGCGGTTCGCAACTCTGTGAAAGTATGCTGATTCCGTAACCATTTTTATGGCCGTCTTTTAAAGCAAAAAACATACAACAACGTAATTAAATAATTTTAGCATTATACCATGATGAAAACAGCCGCCATAACAATAGACATCAATCTTCCTCGCAATATTCATAATGACATTTTTTGATAATTTTCAACTTGTATATACGGGAATTAAATTATTTCTTATACATTTGCAAAATGTAAACTTCGAACCTTTTATAATTACGAACGTATACCTATCAATCAGTGCGTTTTCCTATTTATACCCCAACCTGATAAAACATAGAGTAGAGTTTTAAATGAATTTTATCGATAATACCTATACTCAGATTACTAACCTACTGCATAGTTTTGACCACACCTAACTCACACGTTGGTGGCATTGTCAAGGTGTAAAATTACGGCCACCATTTTCCTGGGATAAAAAATTCACTATTAATACTAATTCACTAATTAGCTGATTGTTTGCTACGTGATAAAGCCAACAGTGCAGATTTATAAAATCCTCGAAGTGGCGAGGCGTGAATGATCAATTATCGATTTTTCCCAATTTGAAGCTATGTTAAAGAATCGATTATTAAGGTGTCCGTTGCGAATATCCTATTTATCGATCCTTTTCCATAGGTTTAAATGGCGCATCAATCGATATATTGCAAAGCACGCTACGGCATTGTCTCGAGCCCCGGATCAAAAGAGACGGCTCGGGCCTCTGAATTTCCGCAAACTACTCAACTCACTCAAGAGTTGTTGGTAAATTTTAATTGGCAATTTTTTTCGCTTTTTTATTATTTGCCGGACTGAGTCTTGAGCGGCTTTCATCTTTTTCCGCACCTTGAATCGGGTCTTCTGATCAACATTTCGGCAGTGACGAAGAGGTCGTAGATACCGTGGAGAAGACCTCAGGATCAGACGAAGAAATTCTTTCCTGGTTGGATGAGGAAACTGGTGCCATGATATGAAAAGTGCTCTAAAAAGAAAGGGGAGTGGGGGGCTATACTCCAGAAAGTAAATGTTGGGATCTTGACGTGTTTTCACCGTTAATTATTTTTTGAGTTGTGTCACGTGCGTACCAACTTAGAGGTCACTCAGAAATCGGACCTGCGGCAAAAGGAGGTGAGCCTAAAAAAAAATTTAATATCTCGGCAACTCGTGGACCTTTCAAAACTATAGTGCGTTAGAGAGCCAAAAGTAATACCAACAAAACATTATCCACAAATATGTTATATCTATTATATGGTGTTTGCCCGCCCGACAAGGTGGTTGGTGCACTGAAAAAAGATTGGTAGAATTTACCATTATCTCAAGCTGTGTTTCAAACAGCGTTAATTCTGAGTCAATTCTGCTAGAAGAAAGGTGAACGTTACTATATACTGGCACAGGTAACCATTCCTCTGGCAGAATCGACTTGAAGATTGGTAGATTTGGTAGATTTGGAGATTGGTAGATGGATTCACCATTCCTTCACGCTTTGTGAAATACAACGTAAAGGAATGGTAAATCATACCAATCTTCATTTCAGTGTGGCTACGTCGCTGGCATGCATTATTTCCATAGCAGTATTGCCAAGTGCCATTGTAATAATAATAATATTTTAAAATATTGCAAAGCATTATAGCAAAACACTGCCCGCAGACGCGGGAAACTAGAAAATACGTGTTACCAACTACGCAGATTGCAAGTGCTGTGGAACTGATTTCAGGCTTTTTTAACGTGCTCAACGTGATTTTCGTGAGATCTTTTGCGTGCAATAGACCCATTGATAGCATCAAGTTAATCGTATCTCATTGCAGCGCACCCTGGCCGCCAATTCGTGAAAAATAACGCATATATGATTGTAGTTTTAATTCAATTTATGTCACTTTTGTTCAACATTGCCGAGTGATGTTGTAGCAATGTTCAACATTGCTAAGCGGGTGTGATTTTAAATAGGGAAATTTTTAATATTTGGTGTAGCTTCGTATTTATAGTTATTCTTGATCTATCCATCAATAGGGCTTAATTATTTACAAAAATCAAGGGCCTTCTCCTATTTTTTTTTTTTTTTCGTCGCACTAGGTGGTTTTAAAATTTCCAAGGAAACACCCGGATCCGTAAATACGTTTTGTCTATCAACAAAACTGCACAAGAAACATTTTGGAAGAAATTTGGAAGACGCGTAGCTCCTATCATGCAAATATCAAGCCTCCTGAAGCCAAGAATTTGTCTCCTTATCGTGGCAATCGGTGCGGAACTCTGCTTTGGAAGACGTTTACCCAAACCAGTATTGCTCATCCATGGTCTCACAGCAGGAGCAAATAGCATGGCGTACGTAGCAGCCAGGATAAAGCAGGTTCGTTTTTTGTGTAGATAATATCATCACTGAAAAGGGGACATTTCTTTCGTCGACCGTTCGTGGCATGTCATTTGTCTAGAGTCACCTGTTTCAGAAATGTATGTTACATTTTGTTCACAGTGTCGAAGATTTCTTTGAATAAATAAGTGTAAGCTTTGGACACTGTGTGGAGTGACGACACGTCAAATGGCAACTCTGTAATAATTACCATCTTGGAATAATGAAGTATATTGATATCACTAAGTTTCCTGTACCTAGGACCAGCAGCGCGTGCGTTCATGAAGGGAGCAATTGTAAGAAAGTAAATGAAGATATGGAAACAAGTTGTTATATGCTTTTCAAAACTACCTTTATCTCCAAAATCGGCCTTTAAACTCTCGTTACGGCCACTATTATACACCCTGAAATGACCAAATTATGATGCATTCCAAATCATTAGAAAAGACTCATTGAGATAGTTAACCATCTTAACCAAAATATTAACATTAAATAAAACAATCATAATGACCTTGGATGAGCAAAGAATCATAAAGTTGATGAAATTCATGATGGGCCCAAAAATGGCCAAATTGTAACGCCTCCTTTGAGATATGTATGGGAAGAAGACGCTTTCTCTTCATTCCTTGCAAATCATTTACTCCGACGGAATAGTTAATTTTTAATGAAACTATTTATTTCGTAGCACAACCCCGAGACAACTATATACATAACGGATGCTTATTCCTACGCCGCAAGCTTAGCTCCTCTTCAGCAACAGCTTGATGGGGACATAGGGAAGCAATTTCGGCATATCTCCAAAACCCATCCGGAGGGTTTCCACGTCATTGGTAAGCGTTAAATTAAAGCACTTAAAATAAAATATACAATATAAATAAATGTATATAATTAGTGTATAAAAACAGAAGTGCATTCTGCATGGTTTTTATAATTACAATTATTTTATTTTTTATCAGCCTTGTGTTGTGGTTTGAGTCGTGTAGTAGCCAGTTAGGGGTCCTTCGGGTTTTTTGTGGCGACCAGTTTCAGTAGTAAGATGTATAAGAAAGTCGCGAAAAATTACCAAAAATTCATCACTTCTATAGCTGCTCAGATTTTTTCTTGAAGTTAATCCCTCCCTTGAACATTAAAAACGATGAGGAAATCTGTTACAGACAAGGATCTTTAATTGGACTGCATTTTACAATTTGGAATTATGAATTCTGGCTCTTCCGGAAAAGCACTTATGTGCATTGGGAAACTAATGGCACATACGTTGTTTTTAAACCGGGCTAGAATTTACACTTCCAAATTGGAAAATACAGTCCAATTATCCTACAATATTTCTTTAGCACTTAATCATATCCTACATCCTTAATTAATCATCAGAAATCGAAAAATAAGAAGTCATTCATATTTTCTTCTCGTTATTTCTTTTCAAAGGACATTCACAAGGCGCGTTGCTCGCTCGAACGCTAATCCAAAGCTATATCAACCACACCGTTCACAACTGTATATTCATGGCAGGAATTCTGGATGGAGAGTACGGTAAGCTGATAACATGCAGATGGCTAAAATATTTCACCTTTGGGAAAATGGGATGTCGGTCAAATTCAGAGCAATTATTCTTCGGTAAAAATGTTTATGGCTTTGTTGCGCCACTCCAATTGCTGAAAATAATACCTAAAGATGTCTACCAAAATTGCTACCTTGTGGACCTTTGAACGAAAAAAAACCCATTGAGGTACATCATTAATTTTATTCACGATGGATAGAAATAGACAGGGAGAATTTTAACCTTTATCGACGATGGAATTACCAGACCACGTATCTCGTTTGCGATGTTTAAAAATCTCCGCGCCCATTCAGGGCCGGATTTAGGGAGTGGTCACATGGGTCGCAGTCCATGGCGGCAAATTTTGCAATTTTTTTTTTTTTTTTTTAAACTAGGTATTGAAATAGGTATTGATTCAGAAAAAAAATCACGAACGAGAAAACGCGATAAAATTTTTCATTTTCTGAGAATACAGTAATTTATAATTTTGTCTTTTTTTGTGATACAAGAGACAGCACCTTTAAGTAGTCGAGTTGAAAGAGAAACCAAACACGCAATTTGGCCTGGAGCGGCGCGGCGCGGCGCAGAGAGCAATGACGACGAGGACTTGAGATGAAAAGGAGAAGCCATCGGCGCGGAGGCGGTCAGCATGGAACACATATTAGCGCCTACAAGACTGCATGAATACTTCACGCATTGCTTCAAACACAGTGCGTTCAGCAGCAGCGGTCGGCGTGAGACGCATAGCGCCTACAAGACTGCATGCATACTTCACGCATTTCGTCAAACACAGCACGGCCAGCGCGGCGCGGCGGAAGATTAAATTATTAAACCACATTTATGTTAGTTCATTCATCATTTTTTCGTTCATGTATCATAAATGGAAGATCTTGTCCACACAGAGATAGGTTTACGGAACTGAACTCTCACGCAAAGTTCCGTGCACTTTTGCGAGTAATGTTAACAGGACTTTCGCAAAAAATGTGTCAAACACGAGTAAATGCGTCTCATGCACCCGTGCCCTCCGGCACGTTCACTTGATGGTTTTTATTGTTTTGAAACGAATGAGAAGGAGGCGGCGAAATACTGGAGGCCCATGGGCGTCAAAATGGTAAATACGGCCCTGCTCTCATTTCAGTTTTTTTGAAGGAAAACAAATCAATATACTTCTTTAAAGTTTGCACTGAGTTTTCTTCGCACGGAGAAGAAAAATCACGGATGTTTTCAAGATTTGAAGTTGAGTGATTTCCCATGTATAAAAATGAATTGTGACAGGAAGTTTGTAACGTCGTAAACCAAGATACGTGGTCTGGTAATTTCACCGACGTGATACCTGTACCAGTGAAGTTTACAACATGACGCTCGCTTTATTATTCGATACAACTTTTCGTGCTTCACTGATGTGCGTGTTGCCTATGAGAAAAGAAAAAGGCGCTGTGGCTTCCATATGCCCTCAGCAATCCGAGTGGGTTGAAGCATCGTCGTTTCGATAAGCAAAGAGCGTGCAAGTAGCAAGGATAATTTCAGGTAAGAAACATGAAAAATTCTCAGGAAATTCTGAAATTAACTAAATGTGAAAACGTTCTTCATAGTTTACATGAAAATTCGTAAGCTCAAACTTCCCACATTGATCAATGATCATTGAAACATTGATCAATGAAAGTTGTGGGGTTAAGTTTAAGTAGACTCTAAATGCATCTTGAATGAAATATATTTTCTACATCGTAGAGGGTGATTACTTGTAAGTACTAACTTGTTAAGATTCGTTTGGAGACCCGCACAAGATAATTGTTCAAGACAATTTTAAAAACTCACTTGCACGTAAAAATATTAGATTGCCTCGCAATTTAATATTTTCACGTGCAAGTGAGTTTTTAAAATTGTATTGACTAACTTGGTAACAATTATTGGTCTTGCACAATACGTAATTGTAGTAATGCCCTTCGTTGTTTATTATTGCTTCATTAATGAAAGGGGTGAGATCAAGTTTATTTCTTGTTCTGTTTAGTCTATCTCGGCAGAATTTCATATTAAATTACACCATTATCGAATGTAATCGATTCATGAGATGGAGATCTTTTTATGAAGAATCTCATACGAACCTTCAATGACCGAACATCCATCTGTTCACAGGTATTAATTATCTTTAGAGTGCTTTTATAGGGAGAGCACGGCCGCTAGAAGATCCATTTTTGATTGCCTCAGCTATACTTGGCTGCATCAGGCACGCTGGTTACCCTTCTGCCCCCGAATGGCGGGCTGTATGCAAGTACATAATTCAAAAGTGCAGGAAATCAGTTTTTTTTGTTTTTAAAAAAAATTGTATTGCCTTGAACTTTGTTAAAATTACAAAGTTAGGCAAGTTTACTCAATTTTAAGACTAATTGTGTGTATTGCACTCGAAAAAAAATATTTTCCTCCTGGGTTAATCTCTATCATAGCTGGGTTTGTAACAACTGCAAGAGGTGATGACTATCAAAGATTGGCTACCATTTCCTCCCAGTTCCAGAATACTGTCATTAATGTTCATCCTATGGGTATTAATCGGACCCCAAGTCACAACTCTATCTATCTGTTTCAGGGACTCCAGCCTTCATTAAACCGCTATTGCCTCTCGGCGAATTTCCACCAACGTTAGAATTTATAAGTACGTTGTTTTACACTCCGCCCGCGCAGAGCAGCTTGTCGGCGGCCAACTTTTGGCACGACCCCTTTCAACCAACGAAGTACTTAAAAGAGAACACGTTCCTTCCGTACTACAACAATGAGATTCTCACGGAGAAAAGTTACTCGTACAGACAGGCCATAATCAAACTGAAGAAAATTGTGTGTATTTTTGGGCCCGACGACGCAGTAGCCATACCTTGGCAAACAGGGTAAGCCATCCCCGTTATATGTTACGATTAAATTCTCAAACGAGTTAAACTGTCATGAATTGGGCGACCTATGCAAGACATGGTGGTATGTAATGCTGAGGTAAGCAAATGTAATGACATACCTTTTTTAATCTTTATTATAAGTCCCTAAAAACTTTTGTTCCGTCGATTTTCTTTAATAAAAAAACGCATTGTTAGGGGCTCAACAGACAGGTTCGCAAAAACTCAATTTTACAAAGAAATGATTGATGGTGAACACGTCTTTGGTCATTATCGGATTCTGAAGAAAAACGTAATTATAATTCTTTCCAATCAAATCTCCCTCTATAATGAGTGCGCGGGNGGGGGGGGGGGGGGGGGGGGTCACCTCTACCGCGAAGCTCTCGGTGACAAAATTCTCAGTAAGTCCATGTTGAAATGATAATGCAATATGCTTCATCGATGGTGTATAACTCTCATACCTCGTATCTCGTTTTTGGTGTTTCCAAATCTCTGCTCCCTTTAATTTTCATATGGGGATTGACTCAACATTATTATTTGATAGTTTCACAGGGTATCTTTCGCACAAAGGAAACATCACTGAAGATTTCAAGAGTTGACGTTGAGTACCTAGTTTCACATTTATAAAATTAAGTATGACAGGAGGTCTGTTATGTTGATAACCAAGCTACGTGGTTTGGGGGTTAAACCCTCGATATAACATTTCAAATCTAGAGGATCAAAAGTTTATAGTTTCAATTGATGAAGAAAGTATCTGACTCAGTTCTAAAGTCGATATTTTGATTTTATTTTCAGCGATTTTTCATTTTATGATTATTACGGAAGGATGCGAAACTGCACCGAACGACCCATTTATGATGCAATTGGATTACGAGTTCTTGACGAGCAAGGGAGGTTCAAAAGGTACATTCATCCAGGGGTCGAACATGCTCAGTTTGTTTTCGACGACGAGGTCATTAGTAGGTACGTCCTTCCTCATTTGGATTGATAGCCGTGGAAAGTCCTGGACTCTTAAGTCCAGGACTTTCCGGAGTCGGACGATAATGGAGATGTTGCATGTGTGAGGGATTTGCGATTTGACCATTGATTCTTTTGTAAAAGTTCGCGAAAAACACGATGGTGCCACTGGTTTTCTCTGAAATCATCTCCCAAGCTCAAAAAAGCTCTCAAAGTGAGGCCAAAATGGAGGGGATATCCCACCCTACCCTGAGAGTCCACCTCTACATCAAAACAAACTCTCCGTGCAAAGATAGGAAGCAAATACATTAGCAGTGATGCCGTGTTTTCAGTTTTGGAGTCCCCAAATAAAGTGGCAACCCTGCCAATGTATTTGCTCCCTATCTTTGCATAGAGAGTTTGTCTTGATGTAGAGGTGGAATCTCAGGGTAGGGTGGGATATCCCCTCCATTTTGGCCTCAACTTGAGAGCTTTTATTGAGCTTGGGAATTGATTTCAGAGAAAACCAGTAGCCACATCGTGTTTCTCGCGAACTTTTACATAAGGATCGAAGGTCAAATCGCAAATCCCTCACACATGCAACATCTCCATTGAAGCAGTGGAAGTTTTGGGAACCTCTCTAGCCGACATGCGGTATGGATGGACTGTTCCTCTGAAAAATTGTTTGCAAATTGATGCCAACCTCGTGAACACCACTTTATCACACCTCAAAAGGCACACAGCATTAATATTGGGCATTTATTTTGCATATAAGTGTTGGTTTTGGAATCAGAGTGAGAACACTTCCAAGTGAAAGATGGTGAATAGGAATGTTATCCAAAACATGTATAATGAGATTGTAAAAAATGTAATATAAACTAATTGTCAAATAAACAGCGAATTTAATGGTGAAATCTGATGTTTCTTTCTCATAATTTGCCGGTTCATTACCTATCTATGAAGCTGTTTTGATGAGATCATTACTTAATCGAAATTTTATGTATTTTAATGGGTCAGTTGCGCTGGTCATGGAATCGAGTTTTGAAGCTTGATTCTTATAGATTAGCCAACAATAATAAGATCTGTACAAGCAGAAACTTTTTACGTCCAATATTAACCGAGATATCGCCATTTGAAAATTCGAGTTTTTAACGTCATCCACTACGTTAATGACACCCTTGGTTTCTTCGACCTTGCTCTCATCAGTTTGTGTGACGCACATTTGCACCAGTTATTCAATGTGAAATTTGGATGAAAGTAGGGTGGAAGAAACCAAGGGTGTCATTGCCGTGGTGGATGACGTTAAAAACTCATTTTTTCGAAGGGCGAAATTTTGGTTAATATTGAACGTAGAAAGTTGCTGTTTGGACAGATCTTATAATTTTTAGCTGATCTCCAAGAATCAAGCGTCAAAACAGAATTCTGTGACCAGTGCAACCGACCCATTTATCGACAGCCTATGCGTTTCCTCATCCAGTATGTATAACTTACAGAAATGCCTCTCCATTCTTTTAATACTCGTAACTTGAATGTGATTTGCTCAATGCAGTTGCATCGGTGTACCTAATAAAACAATTCTGAGCATTTAAAACTGCTTCACCCCCCCCCCCCCCCATTTCTCTTTTTACCAAATCTGGTCGTCAATGTATATAGAATTTCTCTCGGGATATCATCTGAATATTCCACAAGCCTGGTACTCACACTAAACTCCTCTTAGCTAGACTAAATGAACATAAGCGAACAAGTATTACTTCAACTACAAACGGTGCAAATTTCAGGACGTACTTTGCGTCTGGGGGAAGCAAGGCAAGCACTGGAAACATCATAACTTCTGGAAGCTTCACTTGTGTTTCTCGTTGTAATATTAAACATATGAAAATTATTTCAGCTACCTATGCGAAAACTTTATCCCTAGTAAAATGGTTCAATATTTCATTAATCTGATGTCATAATGGCATTCACTATGTGTTTTATAAATCATAATGACATCATTTTGATGTCCTGTGAGCACTCTGATATCACAGTGACGTCACACTAATATTAGTATATCTTAGTGAGTTTTTCCATTAAGCAGTATGATGTTACGGTGATGGGGACATTATGACATACACTTATCAGGGTTGGGTCTTTCCCTTCCCGAGAGAGATAAAATAAATCGAAAAGTATGGTGAAAGAGCCGTATGCAAAAACGACATTTTTCGCCCCCCCCCACTAAAACTTATTCAAACTTCGTCTATCAGTTACTAATACTGAAGCGCTACTTTCCCCAAATTTTCAGACCCCCAAAAAATTTTGGGGGGGCGCTAGGGGGGGTGGAAGTCAAAACCTGTGACCCTCGATATCTTTCGAACGAAACAAGATATTGAGGCTCGGTTTGGACGAAAAATCGTCTAAAATTGCATACTTTAAGATTCTATAGGTCACAATCCCAAAATTAAATTTTTAACTTAACTTATGTGCTTTTTTTCAGTTTTTGAGGAAAAACGATTTCTTCTAAACAGATTAAACTGAAATTTCACATTTTTTGATTTGAACCAAAACCAGTTTTTTAAATTGTTCGTCTTTTTCCGCATCCAACGAGTGGTCGTATAAGCTGGAGAACCAAACGGTTCCGGAGTTATGATCGATTGAAGTTTCCGCTCAACGCGCGCCGACCGATTTTCGCGCGCAAAAAAGTCGGATTTGACTGTTATAAAATCAGATTTAATGTTCAAACTGAGCAAAATGCATTATTAGGGACTCTAGAGGGTCGCTGAGTCCAGAAAATACAGATACTTCCGAAAAATTCACGATTTAAAATTACAGCTCCGTAGCGCTATTTTAGAGGCCCACTGAGCGCCGACCGGCCGCTCAGTGGTCCTGTACGGAGCTGTAATTTTAAATCGTGAATTTTTCGGAAGTATCTGTATTTTCTGGACTCAGCGACCCTCTAGAGTCCCTAATAATGCATTTTGCTCAGTTTGAACATTAAATCTGATTTTATAACAGTCAAATCCGACTTTTTTGCGCGCGAAAATCGGTCGGCGCGCGTTGAGCGGAAACTTCAATCGATCATAACTCCGGAACCGTTTGGTTCTCCAGCTTATACGACCACTCGTTGGATGCGGAAAAAGACGAACAATTTAAAAAACTGGTTTTGGTTCAAATCAAAAAATGTGAAATTTCAGTTTAATCTGTTTAGAAGAAATCGTTTTTCCTCAAAAACTGAAAAAAAGCACATAAGTTAAGTTAAAAATTTAATTTTGGGATTGTGACCTATAGAATCTTAAAGTATGCAATTTTAGACGATTTTTCGTCCAAACCGAGCCTCAATATCTTGTTTCGTTCGAAAGATATCGAGGGTCACAGGTTTTGACTTCCACCCCCCCTAGCGCCCCCCCAAAATTTTTTGGGGGTCTGAAAATTTGGGGAAAGTAGCGCTTCAGTATTAGTAACTGATAGACGAAGTTTGAATAAGTTTTAGTGGGGGGGCGAAAAATGTCGTTTTTGCATACGGCTCTTTGCATTTTCCAATTTTTTCTTGCGAATAATTTGCCATAAGTTCATGCGTGCTGCGGAGATAAGAGTGGAAACGTAACACCAGTAACAATTATGAGGCAATTCTAACAAGGTTTTTTCAGTATCCTCTTTAAAGAATAGACCTTGTCTCAAGCAGATAAGAATTATCCATTTATTTTTGGGATTTCTTTCTTTCTTTTTTTGGATGAAGTTCGGCATGCACAAAGAAAAATAGATTTGGAGCTTATCTGGAAATTAGAATGTTCTTGGAGAACAAGGATAACTCCATTAAGCTTTCGCGGTAGCTAGAGGCAAAGAGAGAGATAAGTAATTTTAACAGTCACATTTTCCTCGTTCTACGGCTCAAACAGTTCCAGTTAACAAATATTTATTTTCGGATATTGTGAGGTCTCCTTTCCAGAAGTGTACGTTTTCAATATTAGCCCATTTACGATCCGAGGATTAGAAAGTAAAAGTAATTGCAGACCATGAATCTCGATTTGCAACATTTTACAATTTCCACCATTCCTGTCTTGTTTTTCTAGTAAAAAAATTTAAATATTTTTCAAAATTTGCGCAGAATTTCAATAACGAAGAAAAGAAAAATACGTAAATCTCAAAGAAATTCGATTATTGGTATCCATATAAAAAATAAAAAACGACGAATAATCCTGAGTTACGGAATCGAGCTACATTTTTAAGGAAGTTGTAAAAAGATAATTTTTCCACCATCTATGTAGGCACTAAATCGTATATACTGTGCAGGTAGGTTAGTGTCGCAGTTCCTCCTACGATCATCGGTTACTAAAAAGTTGTAACCAACCAACTTAAAAATAACTAATTCAACTAATGAAGATCATTATATTTTAAGATTAAGTGCTTAATTTAAATTCACAATAAGTTGATACTTTTTCCAGCATTTAGCAATGGACACCAATAAGCACCTCTACCCGTAACATAGGTGTAAAATTAATCTTGTATCCCCACCAGCCAACTTCGAACTCCTAGTTTATTCCGCGATGAATCACTCTCGTGTACTTTCGCTTTCCCTCTTTTGGTTGGTGGTCTCGGCAGAAATAAAATATGGAACGAGCGAGTATTCCTCAAACTGTTCTCCTGTTTTCTTAATCCATGGATTGACGAGATCCGACCTTTCACTGAAGTACCTTGAGAGAAGAATACACGAGGTATGTTTTTTTCTTCTTTTTTTCTTTTGATTTAACACTAAATTGAATGAAAATTAAAATAATATTTTTCGTTATATATGTCGGGAAGGTCACGGTAGATTTTGAAGTGTTTTTATTTATATGCCCATAAAGAATCTTCGCTTCAAAGATTGCAACGTCGCAAATTGAGGCCACGGCACCAAGAAAAGCCTATAACTGGAAACCGCGTTTTGAGAAAAACGCATTTAAAGTTTTGTTTTTGATGTACTGCGCAGACTTTTCTATGCAGGTACCCTGTTTTGGTGTTTTTGGGTGACCTAACCCTTCATTTAAAGGATGCCGGCCGGTAGATTTTGCGATACATTTTGGGTTTATACTCTCATTTATTTCATTTAAAAAAGCGGTTTATAGACCATTATTACGCTCAACAATCATTATGGTGGCAATATGAAGTATAAATCATTTTAATCACGCATGATTAAAGCAAAATGAAAGAATATCGATAGTGAGTAAAGGAAGGGGTAACTAGCACCTTATAGACCCTTAAGTTTATAGGCCCGTTTAGAGGTCGTTCTTGCACCCATCGATCCAGAGGCCTGACTTAACTCGGGAAAAAAAAGGTTTTTCGACCGCGAGCCGTTACCTATCTATATTCTATAGCTACCACAGCATAGTCCAGGGTACGTAGAATCCGAAAAGCAGATAGGCGTAATGACGACCTATACGCCTATAGGCTGTTCCTAGTGCGGTGTCCTCAATTGTAATCCTCCGTCACATTCTTACGGCGCAATGATACAACTATTTGAACTCTCCGGAATGCGTGTGGTATCACGCCGCATTTGAAGGCGTTTTCAAAACAGCCAAGTTCCGATACCCGGATTATCGTTTTGCATGGTTCATATTCTTTTGCTATATTCCGTACCACTTGTTTATTTTTAATCCTCGTATAAAAACCACCCATTTGCTAAATGCATTTCTACAAGCCCACAACACACAACGCTGGGCTTGTCGATTTCCTTTGACATTTTTGCAGTGGTGAATGCATAGCTGAAGTGCGCTCCAGTTTTATTAGCAAATGGGTAATTTTTATACGAGGATTAATAATAAACAAGTGGTACGGAACAAAACAAAAGAATATGAACTATATAATGGACCGTAGGTTGATTTACATTTCTGACCTAACTGTTTTCTAACGCTTCCGTCAAAAAAAACACGCATTTATTGAGTTGCGTTAGCTCGTAAAATCAGTCATTCTATTGATTTTGTACTCCAATTTCTTGCGAAACTACAAACCTGATATCGAAACTTGGCTGTTTTGAAAACGCCTTCAAATGCGGCGTGATACCTCACGCATTCCGGAGAGTTCAAATAGTTGTATCATTGCGCCTTAGGAATCCGACGGAAGATTAAAATGGAAAAAGCCTCCATGCACGCTGGGCTTGTCGATTTGCATTGACATTTTTGCAGTGGTGAATGCACAGCTGAATTGCGCTCCAGCTAGAATTGTATTTAGCAAATGGGTGGTTTTTATACGAGGATTAAAAATAAACAAGTGGTACGGAATATAGCAAAAGAATATGAACTTTGCAAAACGATAATCCGGGTATCGGAACTTGGCTGTTTTGAAAACGCCTTCAAATGCGGCGTGATACCTCACGCATTCCGGAGAGTTCAAATAGTTGTATCATTGCGCCTTAGAAATGCGACGGCAGATTACAATTGAAATATAGCATTCATGCACGCTAGTCTTGTCGATTTCCTTTGACATTTTAGTAGTCGTGAATGCATAGCTAACAGCCAGCCAGAAGTGTATTCAGCAAATGAGTAGTTTTTATAAGAGGATTGAAAACAAACAAATGGTAGGAAATAAAACATAATAATAAGAACTTTGCAAAACGATAATCCGGGTATCGGAACTTGGCTCTTTTGAAAGCGCCTTCAAAACGCGGCGTCCAAAAGAATCAGAATTACCTGAAGCGGGGTTAAAAAATATTTCCTATAGTTCTGTCCAGGAGTCGTGACATACAACACACCAGCCTTTTCGTTCGTCGATAGCTTTGCTCCTCTTCAAGTGCAAGTCAATGGATTGCTGGAGGCATTCAACAATTTTTCCAAGGCTCACTCGAAATTTCATCTCGTCAGTAAGTTTGTTTCTACATCTCCAGGGGTATGGATGGAATTTAAATTGGACGCATTTCTATCAAACGGAACTATGTGCATTATGAAGTGAGTCCTGTTACGCATATATTCTTGTGGGTCTCAGGGCTCATGTTGTAATGCACATAGTTCCGTTTGACAGAAATACGTCCAATTTATATTGGTGCAGAGGCGGGTTCAGCAATTTGGCAACACCGGGTTTCCTTCATTTAAACTTGCGTCAAATAATCGATTCTTGTCGGAGCACCTGACCCCTACAAGAATTGATACATTTCCATAGGCTTAAATGGAGAATAACAAAGTCGCCAATTTTCTGGATCTGCCAATGTATTGGTGAGCTTCAATTCGAATCCTAATCCTGATCCTATTTCGAATTAACTTCACCTAGGTAGCATTTTTCAACGGAAAAGTCGCGATATTTTGCTATTTTATCGACAATAAAATCGCTAGAATCATCAACATCTAAGCGATTATCCTCGATCTTGTTGCAATAAAATCGCGTTTTATCGCCCGACAATTAATCGCGATATTTTCGAAATAAAAATCGCAATACATCGCCATATGTCGCCAATTTAATCGTCATATATCACAATATTTAATGCGATAATATCTCGATACATTGCCAGCGATATAATCGCGATAACCAACCGATAAAATCGCTATTTATCGCGATCACTGCTACTGGGGCATTGATAGTCTCTGATACACATCTATACCAGATGATATATCGATTTGTGACCTTAAAAATTTGCTTAGTTTGCCTCAAAATGAAAAACTGGGCAATATTAGCTCTGAAACATAACTAATTTTGGTCATTTCAGAGGTAAGAGACCTCTGTTTTAGTTGGCTCAGGCTGATTTAGGAAACACAGATCATTTTTGAAGAAAAATTAAGAAGAAAAAGAATACATATCGATATTACGAGGGCTTAGAATTACTTGCGGTTTTAGACGAAACGGTTTTTTATGGATATGTTTGGCTTTATTCTCTGTTTGAACAGCTCACTCACAGGGGACTCTTATAGGCCGAGCATTGATTCAGGCAAGCGTTTACCACAATGTCTGCAACTATATTTCTCTTGGAGGAATTCACTCAGGAACATACGGTAAGCAGTCAAGAGGGTAGAGCGATGGTTGGAAATCACATGAATACATGCTAGTAAGCTGATGAAGATGGAAGAGTGAGATAGGATAGTCAGGGGAAAAATTAAATGACTAAATAAAATCTTTATGAAACATCTTTTTTTGAAATTTAAAATAAAGGCAACATGGGGTTTTAGAAGAGATGAGGGAGTGTCAACTCCCTGTTGGGTTGTGCGGGAGGTTTGAGTTTTGTGCCGATCAGGCGTCACAGAGCGCCAGAGAACGCTGTGATAGCGACTCTTAAGTATGGATAAAGAAAAGTCTTTAATTTTAAACATTGTTCTGACGTGGTTTTATTTTATTTTTTATGTTTTATTTTTTCCATTTAGAAACATATTTTATTCCTAGAAATTATTTTATGAGTGAAAGAAGGATCAGCATTATGGTAGATTTTGATGTCGAAAATGATGTTTATTTTATTTTATTTTTTTTTTAAATTTATCAATATTTTTTTTTGTCGCACTTTGTGGTTTTAAAATATCCATGGAGACACCCAGATCCGTATAGAAACATTTTGTCTAACAAAAATACTGCGCAAATAAGGAAGAAAGTAGAGGAGCTTACAATTAGTGAAACTAGAAAAATTAATGAATGACACATTTCCTGTGTTGTGATAGTCAAAGTTTTTCTGCCAGTGATTACCCGCTTTTCCTTGTCTGATACAGCCTAGACGTTTCTTGTGTTAAATGTTCCCAATCTGAAAAATTGACTAGATCGTGTGTTTGACTGAGCCCAGGAATCCCTACCATTGCCGCGGAATTGACACCGCTTGGAGAAATTCCGGTAGAGCGAATGCTCACTACTGCATTGCTCTACACGCCCACTTCGATGGAAACTTTATCGATAGCAAATTTTTGGCATGATCCCGACAACGCATTGTACCTCGAAAAAAACACGTACTTGCCCCGCCTCAATAACCAAATTCCCTCCAACGAAAGCTACAGTCAAAAAGAGGCCCTGTTGCGTTTGAATAAGTTCGTCACCCTTTATGGACAAGGTGATGGATTCGTCTTCCCTTGGGAATCGGGGTGAGTTAATTCGTATTATTTCACGCTTTTCAATAATTCTCAACCGTTCTTTTTCCTGGTCGGTTGATAAATAATTTAAGCATCTAATTATTCGGAGGAAATGAAACATCATTATTGATCTTTCACGATACTGGTGAATTTAAAATGATTATCGAAGCACTGTGGCTGGCTTAAAATCTCTTCATACCAGGAAACTTGCCTATTCTGGAACGTCAATTCCAGGTAAGAATATACTGAACCACATAGGTATTGATAACAGAGGATCATTGATGATAGTGTGATATGAGCAAAAAATTAGCAAAATTCAGAGTAATGAAAGCAGGATTTTTTTTTTTTTTTTAATTGTCGATTTCGATTCAGTAATTAACTTCTGTATTGATTGCGGAATTTTTTCCAAAAAAGAATGCTACCTTCATCCTCCTGAATTTTGCAATATTTTGGTTGAAAACTAATCTTCAGGCTCATCCGCATGCAGGAGCTATCGTTCTTTTTCCAGCAAAAAAGTCAAAATCTGCGGAGATTTTTCACTTGATCGACGCGACATACGTACGATAAAATTCGAGAGGAATCACCTTGTGTAAGGATGCGCCATTTTACGAAGCTTCATTTCCTTAAAATTTTCTGTTTTCAGTGATTTTTCCTTCTATAAAATCATTAACAATACTAACGTAGTTGTCAACTACACTGAATGGGATTTTTACGACACTTTGGGCCTGAGAACTTTGGATGAGACTGGTAGATTCATCAAGCATAACATCTCAGGCGTGGAGCATCTGGAGTGGCCTATGAACGACAATGTCATCGATAATTATGTTTTACCTTATCTAGGTTATTGTGCATAATGATGAAGAATTTACCTATAGCACCTAAATATTCACCAGTGGCGTGGCGTGTTTTGCGATATATCGATTGATCGACCATTTAAACCTATGGAAAAGTATCGATAAACAAGGTGTCCGCAGCGAACACCTTAATAATCGATTATTTACCACAGATTCAAATGGGGAAATATCGATAGATCACAAAGCACGCCAAGCCACTGATATTCACTCGACGATTTTAAAGTCTTTCTTATAATTGCTTACTCACGAGTCAGATATTTTTAAACGGAAATGGATGTGAGCTCAAGAAAAACTCATGGGTAGGATTCAGCGTATGGTAAATCACCTAAAAATAAGTACTTAGATCTGGAAATTATATGACCTCAAGTTTTGTTTTCAAGATTTTGAGGTTCGAACAAAAACAAGAGGAACTCAGAGCTCCGTTCCTCTTGTTTAAAGACCCCGATAGGAAAAATAATATTTTTTAGTGTCTCCTCTTCTTCTTTTTATTTTTAATTAGGAGCATACTCATGTAACCTTACGGAAAAAATATAAATCAAAATTGAAAAAAATGAAAGTAAGATCTTATTACAATGCACTAAAGATGATTGTACTAATCGATATACATAATTGTACATGTGTGTTGCACTTAAATTAAATGAGAGTTATTGCTGAGTAAATCTGCCGGAATAGAGGCATATTTCAGCAGATATGAAAAAGGGCAAGAAAAGCCGGGGACAAAGCTGAAAAGACACAGAAAGCTTTATCAGATAGAAGAAAGATTTGCGTCTCAATGCGTATACCTGAAATTGCACGGAGACGCCTTGAAAGTGACGAATATGCAACCGGACGTGACCAGTGGCTCCTCAGTTTTTTCACGACACTCAACGACTGCCTACCATTCAATATTACGCATTTTTCGTGTTTTTATTTGCCAACATGAATCAACAAAATAGACACAACTTGTTACAATTGGACGTATTTCTGCCAAACGGAACTATGTGCATTAAAACATGAGCCCTGAAACCCATAAGAATATATCGACGGTGAAACTACCAAACCACGTATCTCGGTTTGCGACGTCGCAGACTTCCTATCATACTTTATTTTTTAAATGAAAAACTACTTAACGTCCAGTCTTGAAAATTTCTGTGATTTTTTCTCTTCGTGCGGAGAAAATTCTGTGAAAATTTCAAGGAATGATATTGATTTGGTCTACCTCAAAAAAATAAAATGCGAGCGTAGATTTTTAAACACCGCAAACGAGATACGTGGTTTGGTAGTTTCACCGTCGATATGCATTACAGGGCTCACGTCACAATGCACTTAGTCCTGTTTGATAGAAATACGCCCAATTCTCGGTCATATTTTATTCTTCTTACAAGAAAATGAACGTTCCACTTTCCTTTGAGTATTAAAATAGATACATACAAATTCTAGGTAGAATGCTATCGTAATCGTCTCTTTGTAAGTAACAAGCCATGACGAAAAATCAAGCATCATAAATGAATCGGTTTCTGTTAGACGGGCGGCGTCAGCCCAAAAACTTATGAACCACAGCGTTCTGCCTGATCAACGAAAGCCTGGGCTCATGATTTTTTGGACTCACGCCCGCCCAACAGAAACCGAGTAAATTATGATGAAGATGAGCTGGTTCTGCTGTTAACGCAGCTCAATTGGATTGCATTTTGCAAAAAGGAACCACTAGCATTGCAATGTTGCTAAGATTGTGCAACTTCTTTTGTCTCGGAGGAAAAACCCGATTATCCAATAGTTTCTATTTTACTCGCTAAAACTGTAAATTTAAGACAAAAATTACCATCTAAATTTCATAGTTTTTCACGATTTTTGCAATTTTATTGCAAAAGATGAAATTGCACAATCTTAGCATCACTGCAATGCTAGTGGTTCCTTTTTGCAAAATGCAATCCAATTACTGTTAAGGAGTTTTTAATAATAGTCATCCTGTGGGTCTATACCATACTCGCGGCTTGTGAGCATTTTTCAAGAGATTCTCATCACTTTTCAAAGTTGTTACGCTGCCTTAACATTAGTATTTTTCATGAGATTTTTCAGTGAACGCAACTTTGTGACTCGCTGCCGTTGGATGTTTCGTAAAAGACTTGTGAATATTAGCTCACTTGTTACCGCATGAACGCATTCCGAGTTAAGAGTGTTCATCGTTTGGTATCTTACAGTTGATAATTTGCTCTCAGCTACTTTCACATCGCATTCTCTACTGAATTCATCATTCAGACGAACAAATTCGCGTAGTTTGGTATTCATTCTCTCAACACCAAACGATCGAATTTGTTGTTTAAATTTTTTAAAAAAATAATCATGCAGTTTGGTATCGCATTTGTTTAGTTTTCTTAAAATTTTCCTTTGAGCCGCCGAGAGCGATAATTTGTTCGTTGACTTTCTCTCGTTGAGTTTCAAAAAAACAACACGTTTCAACGGCCATTTCATCAAGTCCGCCAGCAAGATAAGTGATTCTTCCATGTACTCTGTCATCAGTACTACATCAAAAGTTCTGTCAATTTCATGAATCCACTGTTTTATTTTTCCGTTACTGTCGAACTGTTTTTCATTCAATCCCAAATCAAAACACATTTGATTATACCCGAACTTAGAGCCGCCTCTCTTAAACCTCTCAACGGTAGAATAGTTCTCCAAAAAAGTTGTTAAATTCATATGATACCTTTTTTCAAAATTATAATAATTGTACAATGATTCGTACAGTTCGGCTGGTTTGCGAAGGATTGTGACGTAAACAGAATTTCGGCTCATAACTTTCATGGTGGATGTGTGGTTGAATCTATTGTGATGCGTGAAAATATTATAGACTCTATTTGGTGTCCTTATTGATTTCCCGATCATAGTTGGAATGAAAAACGTAGGGCTCCCGAGATAATTGCCTCTCTCCGGTAAAACAAAATCCAGTCCCTCGTTTAATCCATATCTCATCAGAATATTTTGGACTGTGCTGCTTCCACATTTGTGAGTTTTAAGGAAGAATATATCTTTGCGCTCTTTCGTTCTTATTTCTTGACCCGCCTCCGAACCTATGTTAGATGTAGGGAAATCATGCTGATCCAAGATCCGTTTTCTCTGTTTGCCAGGATCTGCTCCAGAACTGAAGGCAAATAATTTGATTTGTCACAAAAAATAGGAGATAATTTTATCTTTTAGAAATGGGAATATATTTAAATCTTCATAAGTTCACTGATATTTATGGGAACCTCAACTAAATTAATTTTTTTTTTCAATCAACTATTGACTTTTCTTCTTACAATTTTAAATAATTTTCGAAAATTGTAATCGGCTAATTGAAAGTATTTAAACCTGCTTAATCGAACTAAACATTGAGTTTGCAGGAGAGCTTTATAAACAAGATTTAGCCCAACAATGAATACTTTATGATAAAATAGGTCTGAGTTATTTTGCTGAAGCAATAACAATAATGAAGAATTTGCAGGTGTCTGAAATCTGACGAATTTCGCGTTTAAATGCAAACTACGGAGTAAACTGAACATGAGGATACCCTTGGTTCATGAATTGAACAATCATCGGAGAAGATATGACAAAATGACCAAATCTGCTAAAATACATGTGTTTAAAAGGGAAATGCCGCCAGATGGCGTCATTACGCGGTGCATTTTTTCACTTTTAAATCTATTTGTATACTATTTCCCATATCAGAAAAAAATTATAAAAAATACTGAGAAATCAGCTCTTTCAGATAAAGCAATAAAACATTTGCATGCAAATTCTCCATTTGCTCTAATCCCATAATCAAATTTGAGGTTATTACAACTATTTTACGATGACTGTTCATACTATCATGAAACTTACTCTTCGACAGTCACTCGGCCACGTTATAAGTATGTTCAGACCCAACTTGACCACCGGACTAATTTATCCCCTCCATAAGACAAAATCTTAAATGCTTTTCGCTGAAAATTGTATTGATAGGGCCACACCCGATGTATGAGGATTACCTGCTTGATGTGCGCTCATCTAGAAATCGAGTGAAGTATACCGTGAAAAAGACCACAGATATCACTACGAACGTTAGGTTTCCATATAAGTATCTCATTGTGCACTAGTTTCTCTCCCTTTTTTCATTTTTGAAGCATTTCCAGCTATCTCTCTCATTTTAAATTCGGCTAGATAGTCTAAAACGCCTGCAAAAACAATGACAAATTTGTGTTCATACGTTGTTAAAATTTAGGTTATCTCCACCATAGGAAATTGTTTTGTTAATACTACTGCTCGTTGAACTAATAATTTTAATTTTGTGCAAATTTCCAGAAACTTGTAAATATTTTCCACCCTCCTTGTGACACCTCACAGAGGCATCCACTTCAAAAAATATGATTGGATGGAGATCGGTATACCCGTATACCTTACCCATGTGAATTTTCCGTCGCTCCTCTGACTTAAGGGCGTATTTTGATTCAGACATGAGCCCTAAAAAGCATGGAGTCATAAGGATAACAGGGTTCACGGGGAAATCGAGATAGGTACCCCCTCACGTCAGAGGAGCGACGATTTGTCCTCTCACATGTCGGCAAAACAAACTGCATCTCCATGAACAATCAGCAGAATACATATTATATTCTGGTAGTGGTTTTTAATCGAATAAAACTTGTGCCTGAAATGAGGTTAACATCTAAGTAAGCACAATGAGCCATTCCTTTTTTTTCTGTCCGATTTCTTTAAAATGACCGACAGTGTTTTTGACAACTAAATGCTGTTTTAAGTTTACTCGTTATAAAATCTTCAAATCACAGTGCGTGACGAATAAATACAAAAAGATATTCATATATCAAAGATAAAATTAAACGGATAAAAATAAAAACAAATGAAAACTTACAATATTTCAGACAGAATAATCACTGCTGTTGTTGCAAAAATACATTTTCACAAATAAAACTACTGTTTTCAGAGACGATACTTTGATAATACTGACGGAGAGAGTCATTCTGCAGATAAACATTAAACTTCCACTCGAGATAAAACATCGGAAAACGGGCCACAAAGACGGCACAATCCGATTTTAAAGTGCTAAGGTGACTACGCACTTCAAGTTTAAATATCGCCACACAAAATAAACGTATTTTTTCCGAGAGAAAACATTAAACGGACTGAGTTACATTAGCGTCACCGGGAGAACAAATTAGAACAGTGGGAAGGAACATATCGACGGTGAAACTACCAAACCACGTATCTCGGTTTGCGACGTCGCAGACTTCCTGTCATACTTTATTTTTTAAATGAAAAACTACTTAACATCCAGTCTTGAAAATTTCTGTGATTTTTCCTCTTTGTGCGGAGAAAATTCCGTGAAAATTTCAAGGAATGATATTGATTTGGTCTACTTCAAAAAAATAAAATGTGAGCGTAGATTTTTAAACACCGCAAACGAGATACGTGGTTTGGTAGTTTCACCGTCGATATATGTTTAAATACCATGTAATTGTAGAATTTGGTGGGAGCTTACGAGCCCCCTTAGAGTGATTAAGGGGTTGCGCCCTCTCTCTCTCGGTGAATCCGTTTGGATAAAATCAATTTTCAAATGTCACCAAGTAATGGCCATACGTACGTAGACAAGTAGATTCTGCTTTGTAAGAAACTTCAGGAAAAAGATAGTCTGTGCTCTGCACTCATATCACTTCAATTTTTTGGAAGCTAAACAGGCTCTGGAGCGAGATGCACTCGGAATGGCACTATTGTAATATCCGAATCTCGTATTGAAAATTTATTTCTGGAATTGATTTATGTATTTCGTTACTTATTTCTTTCTTTTTTCCCTTCGTAAAATTAATTTGTTAAAAATTAGTGGAAAGCTAATTTAACCATTAGAGTGGGTAAATCAGCATTTTTTTTATTGTAGAATCTACATTGAAACTTGCCGGACTCTTGTTTTGACTAGAGAATTGTTAAATCAGCAATTTAATTTTTTCCGCGAGAGATAAGCTAGGGGGAAGTGGGTAAAAAAATAATAAAAAGAGGGGGGGAGGGACAAAAAAAGGGGAAAATGAAACAAAATATAATGACATCCAACAAAGAGACTCCAGCCGACGTGACAAAATGGGCATGTGTCATTAGTAGGTGTTTTATTTTTTGTTTTGTTTTTTTTGGTTACTTATTTGTCCGTTGTTACCTGTTGTATACTAAATCGAGAATAAATTCAATTCAATTCAATTATGGCTCAATGATAGAAAAAGTAAAACGTCACAAATGTAATGATCGGGAATGTTAGTGTTCTGTGGTCATTGGATTAACCACACGAGGCACGAAGTCGATGAGGATGCTGTTTTTTGCGTATTGTAGAGAGAACCAAAGAGGATCAAAATCCGCAGCTTCTAGCTGGCGCAGGTGTGAGCAAGGCTTCAAAGTGTATTTACAGAGTAGCGATGCCACGAACGTAGCTGCGATGTGCAGACCAATTCTGTAACCTGCCACAAGAGAAATCACGTATTTGTTTCATGCACAAGAAAAATTAAAACATTTTCGAAACGGATGGACGAAAAAGGTTTTTTTTTTTTTTCTTATTTTATTTTATTTTACGTACAATAGAGTCTTACTTATCGTATTTAGGGATAAATCACAACGACCGCACAATCGACTGCAATGTGTTCGGCGCAATGCGAGAAGTATTCCCGCATTCTTGTAGGCGCCAATATGCTTCCCGCGCCGACCAGCGACCGCAGTGACGGTGTTAGGCGCAATGCGTGAAGTATTTTTGCAGTCTTGTAGGCGCTAAAATGCGCTTTGTGCCGACCGGCGCGGCGGCCGCACTATGTTTGGTGAGATTAGAAACGATGATACATCTTTAGATTTGAAAAAAAAAACTGTAGTACCAGAGAAGAGGTAGTAAGTTTGAAGAATGGCTGGGTAATTTGGATGAGAAACGGTTCAACGGTTCTCTTTTTCACCCGTGAAAAAGAGATTTACACCGAAGAAAAATGTTGACGTAAAGAGGCAGCATTTATTTTGCCAATAAAGAATTGCACTGAAGAGTTTGAAAAGGAATATTTTTCCTTTTCAAACTCTTTTTTAAAGGGCATTTTTTAACGGGCTCTTTTTTTCAAATTAGGGCATATTGGCGCCTACGTGTAAATAAGCTCTCGTCAAATAATGTAAAGCCACCTTTCTTTAAAAAAAAAACTGAAAATCTTGAGGAATCGGCCAAAAACAGGTACAAACACGAGTTATAAGTGAGCTTTGATCTCGTCCCGGACGCACCATTCAGAATGCATTGATAAGTTCTATCATGGTTTTTATCATCAAAGAAACCTTCTATATATATATTGATTTTCTCAGAACATGCTGCTTGTAGATTGACTGTACTACTGCTCTTAATCCAAGCACATCCGTCCCGGCCACTTTTTTCACGATTAAGTGAAATGCTCCGATAAACCGATGATGTTCTCCTAAAAACATCTTTTGCAAGAGATTGCTGATTGATGTTCAAATTTTTAAGATTAGTCTCGTCTTACATCACTCACCTGGACATTTACGTGGTCCTATCCCAAAAGTTAGGAATGTCTCTGGTGGCATGGATCCTCTATTCTCAGGACTGAACCGATCTGGCTCAAAATCATCCGGATTTTCGAAGTACTTTGGATCACGGTTTATTGAATACGGGATAATCATCAGCTTGTCACCTTTTCTAAACTTATAGCGCGTCCCTGAAATGTGAAAATCTTCAGTACACGTTCTCACAATAGCAAACAAACTTGGATACAGGCGGAGAGTCTCTGCAATGAGAAATAAAAGCGAGAAATAAATTTAGGAAAAAAAAACGCTTTTGTATCTTGATAATAAGTTTTCTTCTAACTGCGATATTTTTCTGGTTTATTTTGAGCTCGTAAGTGTTAATAATTGGAAAAAGAATTAAATATGATAGAAAATGTTTACATTATTCAAGACGATTTTTACAGGGAGAACTGGGATCATAAAATTGTTTTGAATAATTATATTATAATTTATCCCAGGAGGTTACGAGTAACGAATTCCAAATTTAGTTGTAAAAATGATTTTTTGCTTGCCCATTTGAATATTGCAAATCGACCCATCTTTGATTTTTTTTTTTTTTTTAAAAAAATCCTAACCAAAAGCATGGTTGTCACATTTTTCACTCAAATGCTGCAAACCCCTTTTCTTGATATTGTTTTAATTTGCGTATCGAGGGTATCAATTGAAACACCGTCCTGTCTCTTAAAAAAAAATAAAAAAATAATAATAAAAAACAAAAATAAAAACATACCCATGAGACATTGCTCCAAAAATTGAAGATCCTGTATGACAGATAGTGTCAATTCTGAGACACCATGCTTCGCCATGCCTTGGTCGATCTCCTGCTGGACCTTCTTTTGGTGTTCGGGGTACAACGACAGGAGGTGGAGGGTGAGGTGGCACACAGAGGCTACTGCATCCGTCCCCGCTACGAGCAAGACAAAACTGAGCCCTATCATTTGCCGCATATTCAGCCCTGAAAATTGTTTTCGAGTATTACACATACGAATCATCAATAAATTATGTCACATGTAAAATCCATCCGTTATTTTTCCTCCTTTTTTATGCAGATCAGCGTCTGACCTGAAAAATTACGTCATGCTTTGCTGGACCCTCGTTTAATGTAGGAAACTCTGCATGTGTTTTCGTGAACATCTTTACCTGTAGTACAGTTCTACCGTGCTAAGGAAGAACGCCGTGTGAACGCTCAGGTGTGCAGGCCCGCCAGATCCCATCTCGGGTCCTGGTACCAGTTTTAGGGTCCGGGCCCAAAGCACGGAGGGGGGGGGGTCCGAGGGGCATCCCCCAAGAAATTTTAGAATTTATACGACTAATCGGACGCATTTTGAAGCTTCCATAAAGAATTTTCCATCAATTTCTGCAGAATAATTACTTTGTTTTTTCGACCATTTTTCGTTTTTTTGATAAAAGATTTTTCGACCTCGAGCCGTTACCTATCTATATTCTATCCATACCACAGCATAGTCCAGGATACATAGAATCCGAAAAGTAGATGGGCGTAATAACGACCTATACGCCTATAGGCTGTTCTTGGTGCGGTGTCCTCAATTGTATTTAGCAAATGGGTGGTTTTTATAGGAGGATTATAATTAAACAAGTGGTTAGAAATGGAAACAAAATAATATGAACTATGCAAAACGATAATCCGGGTATCGGAACTTGGCTGTTTAGAAAACGCCTTCAAATGCGGCGTGATACCTCACGCATTCCGGAGAGTTCAAATAGTTGTATCATTGCGTCTTAGAAATGCGACGGAAGATTACAATTGAAATAGCCTTCATGCACCTTGGCCTTTTCGATTTCCGTTAACATTTTTGCAGTCATGAATGCGCTTAAGAGCGCTTCAGCTAGAATTGTATTTAGCAGATGGGTGGTTTTTATAGGAGGATTATAATTAAACAAGTGGTTAGAAATGGAAACAAAATAATATGAACCATGCAAAACGATTATTCCGATAACGGAACTTGGCTGTTTTGAAAACGCCTTCAAATGCGGCGTGATACCTCACATACTCCGGAGAGTTCAAATAGTTGTATCATTGCGCCGTATGAATGTGATGGAAGATTTAAATGGAAATAGCCTTCATGAGGCGTGGCCAAACTCTGATAAAACACATATTTTCTGGTAAACTTAATGAATATTTTCCTTCCGATTGTTCAGATAATTTTATTCACAATTTCACTTAAGCCCCTGATATTTTCAATAGGAAATATTCATAACTTTCCTCAAAAATAAAGATTTTATCGAAGGGAATTTTTGGCAACTCTCGAATGTTCATACGGCATTCTTCCTAAGCATGGCAGAGTTGGTTCAGAGTGATAAAACAACGATTGAAATGATAAAGCGGACCAGGTATACTTTTCTAAATGCTGGAGCGCGCGCAGTTTCGTCAGTTAAAATCGATTTTAATTTTTCTTAAAGAACATTTTTTTCAAAGGAAATTTTTCGGTCATAACTGTATATTTGATCACGTAGAGCCATGTAAAAACGCGAAAAAGGCGGAAACTTTTCCGAAATAAGTACATTTCCTATTGATAAAATACTCGAAATAACGTCACTTAAGTATTGCTTTTTGATCCTCTTTGAGTCTTAAAAGGTCCTTCGTTCCATTTGTCAAATAAGAGTAATTGCTTCCTTACGAAATGAGTAATTTATACCTTCATCTTCAAGATCTAAGGTGGAGGTACTCTGAGCATTCCAACATGTTTTACTTTGCATGCGCTTCATCAAATCAACAAAATCGCCACAGTTGCCATGTGCCATTCGATGATCCATTTTGCGCCGCAAAAACTTTCCCATTGCATGTTTGCTTTTTTGCGACGTGAAACGAAAACTTTCAAAAATCTGAAGAGACGGAAAATGCACTTGCGCCCAAAATGCTAGAAGCCTAGAAAGCAAGACAACAGTAATTTTTGATAAAGGAATGCACGTGAAGTTTTTAGTCAGTAATGTCAACTTAAAAACCATATTGTATACATTTTAAGTCTTGCTGCTCCACTTTTTTATAATATAGAAAAGGACGTGCTTTGGAGGAATAAGCGATATGCTCACTAGTAAGTATCTGTTTAAGGAGCGATTGAAAATTATTTCATATTCTAAAGAGGAAATTAATTCAGATGCAATCAACTTTAGAACGAAAAATTACTTTCGGACGTGGCCTCTATGCAATGCAATGCAGCACCTCTACCTTTTCAGGAGAATGTTTCTTCAGCATCAACGTCAAAGTAGTGTTAAGTTCTATATTCGTGAAACAGCCATGAATATTTCATGCCTCAAAATTCAGCTGCATGAGAGATTTTTAAGTAGGTAGTGTGAGAAAAGTTGAATGTCAGATTGTCATGCGAAATTCTCAATGGGAATTTCATGAAATCAGAAACTTAAAAAAAAAAAAAAAACAATATAAATGAATCCAAATTAAAAATGGCTCTGTGTAGATCTCACCTGCGAATTCTTGGTTCGTAATAGGTTTCGCAAATTTGCTCAATCTGTGCAGTTTCTCGGTATGAATTACTATCCTCTCCAAAGTGCCACGTTGATAAAAAATCCACTACAAAATTCCGTGCAATGAATTGAGCCTTTGTTGGTTGCCCTACAAGTCTAGTTTCCTCTATGTGCCTCCACATTCTATTTACTTGCGTTTTGAGTTTTCCAAAGGTCAAATCATTCAATCTGACAGCCGAGAAACAAAGTAAGCATAGCCAATTAATTCATACCAAAAAGAAAACAAAAAACTTAGTAATTCAATTATTAGTACAAATAAATCGGAGTTTTAGTAGTTCAGGTACTTTAATTTTGTTGCATTGCTTGATGAAATACTTAAAGAGCTGAGAAATCGCACGTTTCTCATTCTAAAGGCCACGTAGTGGGTCGAGTCAATTAGAGAAGTTAGATATGAAACGTTGTACTAAAACTGCAAATTTTGATGTTCATTTCGTCATATTTTAAACTTTAAGGAGTGCTGTAGAAGAAAATTTCCTACCAATGGAAACCAACGGAACCACTTTTAGAACCTCAAAGTTTTGTAAAAGCAGAGTTATAAGCGTTTAAAGATTCCAAACTTTGTCCGACCTCTCCTATTGACTCGATCCACTGTGCGACGGTGGGATAGTCGGCGAGATACGAGGGTCATCCAAAAAGTAAGTTTCCCTACCTTGTATCTTCCAAACGAAAAGAGATTATTCAAATCGGTAAAAAGGCACATATTAGGCATACTCTAAGCTTTAAAACAAGCTCAAGTTTTTGAAAATCGGTCAAGGAGTTCGCGAGTAAACTTAATTTTACTGAGACAACCTCCTGTCGCCGCGTGCCCACCTCCGGGATCAGGATGCGCGGAGAGTCGATTATAGAAGACTCGGGTTATCGCCTCTATACATCACATCAACAAGAAATGTTAAAGTTTTCATTGAGTAGTAACTACCTTACTAGTAGTTAGTAGTAGTTACCTTACTTTTTGACGTAGTCTCCACATCTTCTTTGACATTTTTGGTATCATTACAGCAGCTTCTTGACGCCCTCCGCGTAGAAGATCTCGTCTTGGCTCCGAAACTAGTCATTGACAGCGATCTGCACTCCCAAATCAGTTGCTTTGCGTAGGGAAATTTTCCCCCAATCCTTCAAACTTTCGTACTTTAGCTGCATGTGACTTTCATTTGTTCCCTAGCGGAAAAACTTCCACGATGGAAGCGATTTTCAACCGATTCAGAGGTACAGATCGCTGTCAATGACTGGTTTCAGAGTCAAGGCGAAAGCTTCTACGCGGAAGGCATGAAGAAGCTGCTGTAATGATACCAAAAATGTCAAAGAAGATGTGGAGACTATGTCAAAGAGTAAGGTAAGGCCTACTCAATGAAAACATTAAAATTTCTTGTTGATGTGATGTGTAGAGGCGATAACCCGAGTCTTCTATAATCGACTCTCCGCGCATCCTGACCCCGGAGGTGGGCACGCGGCGACAGGAGGTTGTCTCAGTAAAATTAAGTTTACTCGCGAACCCCTTGACCGATTTTCAAAAACTTGAGCTTGTTTTAAAGCTTAGAGTATGCCTTATATCTGCCTTTTTACCGATTTGATTTATCTCTTTTCGTTCGGAAGATACAAGGTAGGGAAACTTACTTTTTGGATGACCCTCGTAATTCGTTCGCCAATTAATCCGCATCATTTCCAGTTGTTTATGTTGTTTCTGTAAATTAAGCACTATTTTCACACAAGGAGGTCGTAGATGCACATTAGAATTCTGCAATTCCCATGCTGTCCAGGAGTGATAGTGATACTTGCATTTATATTCGGAAAACTCTTGGTCAAGTATTCTGTTTATTGACCAGATGGAAGATAAACTACTCTCAAATTGAAGAAAGAAGGTGGGAATACCTTCATTTATTAACATGAACTTTGCAGTAAAAGACCGTGGGAATGATTTCAAAAATTGTCCACGATATTAAACCCTTAAATGAGAGTTATAATTATTGCGAATATCATTAGCGGGTGGTTCGCTAATCCTTTAATACCTCCATCGTGTGATATGAAGACCGGTAACTAATTAATTTGATGGATAATTTCCATAATGAGTGAGTGAGTGCATAATTAACCAACTACCTTGTGGCAGAGAAAACAGGTGCCATGATGCTCCGACTTTGTCTCCACGCCGTCCTATCTGAACAGAAGTTAATAGTGAATTGTGTCTCGATATCGTTTTCAGGAGGAACAATTCCTGTTTGAAATGCCTTGTCAAAACTCTTCGCAAAAACTCTGGAATAAAAAGAGAGGCTGACATTATCACCAACCCTCTTCGAATTTTATGGGGAAAACACAATGAGTAAGAAAAGAAAGTAGTAATATGCTTTAAAACATTTTTTTAAAAAAATATCCTCTGAACACATCGCTAAGTCCGTTTGGGAATATTGTAACGATTTCCATGTTTGAGGAGCTAGGAGGACAAAGCGTTTAAGTGTAGTTTTTGAAGTAAATGAGACGTTAAAGATTTCAGGTAAAACTAGTCTTGAAGCATATTCTGTGAAAAATTTGTTCGAATCGAATCTCATGTTATCTGTAATTAACAAAGCAACTATTCCAGTTTGAAATACGTTTAATTCTAACAAACATAAGTGGAAAATGAGAGGAGTAGCGATTTTACTGCCGTTGGTAGAGTCTTCACACTTTTCAAAGGTGGGATTGCCTTCGGTTTTGACTCCAAAATAATTATGCCATGAATCATAACGTAATCTACTCACCTGGTACTTTCAGAACCATCATCATCATTAATATAAACTTCGAAGGATTCAGAGTTTCAGTCAATTTCACCTTTTTCAATTTCACTCGCGACGTTGCCAGATTGTGCGATAAAAGTGAATATTTTACTAACCAGTGGCACCATCGTCTTTCTCGCGAACTTTTACACAAGAATCAACAGTCAAATCGCGAATTCCCCACACATGCAACATTACCATTTCGTTTAGCAAGAAGACGTCCATTTCACAGAGACTTACCTTTGAATAAGACGAGGGTCTCGAATGAGTATGAAAGGACAGGAGGTCGCAAAGAATCCGACCAGATCTTCGTCAGCGTTCTCGCGGTAGATGCGGTCGAAGGCCACTAACGGCGACGCTGAGGTGAGACAAGAAAAGGCGTCATGTCCTAACGGAAAGGTTGGTGGTGAGAAGGGGATGTTACATCGCCGCCATTGGGATGCTCTACGGGCAGCGCTCCAGCGGTAAATCACGTAAACACCAAGGATGAGAGCTGAAGGAACGATGAGAATGATCACCAAAGTCAGGAGCACTACCATGCTGGAGCCGGACGACGACCAAAACTGCGGTACGACGGGATGCTCGGCTGAAAGTAGATAGAGCTTTGAGCTTTTGTACTCTAAAATGGACCGCGTTAAACAGAAAAGAACCAAGCCACATCAGCTATTGCCAATTTTTATTGGGCATTTCAATTTTTTGCATGAAAACGGTTGTGCGGATTTTTGTGCAAATTTCAGAGGATTTTCTCCACAGTGCGAAGCAAATTCCTGAAAATGTCTGAAGAAATCCGCACTAACGTTCTCTCGTAAAAAATGAAAAGTCCCTGTTAAATTTGGCAATAACTGATGTGGCTTGGTTCCTTTCTGTTTGACGCGGTCCAAATCGTCGAAGTATTCAATGAACCTGTTGCAAACTTTAGCTACTATTGCAAAAATAAGATTCATTTCTCGAAAAAAATGTCTCAAAAACCACGATGACCGCATCGGTAAACTCTAGAACACACTTCTACATCGAAAAAAAGTGATCTTGATTTAACATTCCGGATGTAAAAAAATGTGTGCGAGAACTTACAAAATGCTAAATTACCTGCTACAGCAGTTAGTATTAAGCGGTTAATTCAGCATTTTGAAAGTTCTTGCACATGTTTTTACATCCAGCAGCCTGACTGTTGAAATTTTGTGCTTGTCGGGGAGATATAGATGACATGGGTTAAAAGGCCGAGTGTGGTTGGTCGGCTAAGTCTTATCGCTGCTTTGTCGTGCTTATGTCGGGTGGAACGCACGACAAGCTGAAGGCACCTCTTAAGTTTCCGACAGTATGTCGTCGATTCCACCTGACAAGGGCACGATAAAACAGCGATAAGACATAGCCGACCAATCACGCTCCGCCTTTTAACCTTGTCATCTAGGTCTACCCGACAAACACAAAATTTCAACTATCAGGCTGCAGGATGTTTAATCAACACCTCTGATTTTTCGGTTTAACTTCAGAAGGCAAAGTTTGGCGAGTAGACTTGGTCGAGTTTTGTGACCAGATCGGCAGGGTTGCAAACCAGGAGATAAACACTCTGCTGAAGTCAAGAACTAAGTTGCCTAATTAATTTTGGCCAGCGTTTGCTTCCATCCACTTTTCAACCCAACTCGGGGTCGAAAATTTTGCATGTGGTCGTTATTCCTACCAGAATGAATACCAAATGATGTAGGCGCACCGTCACCCGGTAGGAAATTCGTTTTGTTGTAACGGAGGTTGACAGTAAGTCAAAAACTTCAACAAAATCAATCCGCGAAAATTCGTCTTATTTCTGCGTAAGAAATATGCGTTTTTTAAGCTGCGGCTTCAGAAACGATACTATGGCACAGACGAAGACAGTGAGTTTCATAAAGGTCATTGAAATTAGCGCATCTGTTGCAACTTGGACCTTTAAAGTGTCCTTAATTACTTGTCTTTAGGCACCAAAAATCTTTTTTTCAGACCAACTTCTTCACCCTCTGTGCAGTTTTGTGTGTGTCTTGATTATTCTCATTTTTTCAAATCGGTGCCTTTTCGTTCTCAGTGATTCATATGTTGTTGTATTGAAATGAACTCTTTTACATATTTAATAGTGCACATGCTTTGCACTCTTATAATAAACAACTTGAGCTGTGATTGTCATCCCTCCAACTAATCATTATCAGCTCCTGCAAAACATTGTCTCTCGGATTTTTCTTTTATGCATGTGAAACTTTTTATGCGAGTATACAGTGGAACAATCAGTAAATAAGAAATTTTTAAAACCGATTTATTTTTTCTCATATTGTTATTTAAGATGCGCGTTTTGGACTTCTTTAGACTCTCAAATTGTCTGACGCAAGTCTTCAATAGAAGAAATGAGTTTAAAAAATTACTTATTCACTCATGAAATCCTTTCATGTTTTGAATAGTCTCCCGTATACCATACTTAAGGATACTTAACCATACTCAATCATTAAGAGACTTTACCTGAATTAGGAAGCATCCGAAAAAGAAATACAGACAAAGAATGAAACTTGAGACGATGAGGCAGATAAGGCTGATATCGAATATCACGCACGTTATAAAGCCAAAAAATAAGCAGGTGATGAAACCGAAAAAACTGAACAGGTTTAGAAATGAACCGTCATTTTCGAGGTTCACGTGCTTCTCGTAAAAGCCAACACCGACGGATCTCCGCATTTTGCCGGCACTTCGACGCGTAGCAATCGGAAGCTTTGCGAACATTGAAGGTTGCACCTTCGATATACTCGTAGAAAATCTTTGGTCTCAGTTCCCTCATTAAAATTTATGTACTTTCCATGGAAAACTGTTGGGACAAATTAAGCGAATGCCTAATTTGCACATACATTTTAGCTACGCATGTTTAATTCATTTAATTGGACTTTTTAAAGCAGAAAGATCTCTATTGTGACATTGGCCTTGTCTCGCGTGTAAACCTATGGGCCTGAAGGCCCGGGTCTTAATGGAGATAGCATTGTTTGTAAATTGTTGTAAATTGTAAACGTGTGCTCATTTCTAGCAGGCTTCATTCGTAGAAAAAGCGGACGTCCCATTCACCGGAAAAAAAGGCCGTAAATATAGGATATTACACAGCGAAGGATTTAATATTTTTATTACGACTTTTAAAAATCTAAAAAGATAATCGGAGAGGCCGAAGCTGATGTTTATTCCTGTCTGATCCTTGGTGGAAAGGTGTAGGAGACTTAGAGCCCAACATTCAAACCATCGTAGAATTTAAGGATTATGTATGATCTTAATATAAAATGAAAATCTATCACAAGGATTCTCAAAGGTTGCCCTTAACTGATGTGTGTGAGGAAGGATCAGGTTGCAAAAATGGAAAACAATAGGACAAAAGACGGAGACAATGAGACGAAAAAATACATTTTAAAACGTGTATTTATGAAACCAACGAGTTGAAACGAAGCCTTTAAAATGTTTAAATCGTTTCTCTCACGACTGAAAGCAGCCAAATTATGGTTCGAGATAAACATTCTTTTCATGCCTTTCATATAAAATAAAGGCTAAGCAACCGTCATGATGAAAAGTCGAACGTTTCATATACACTAGAGTTACCCTCGCACTTGCCGTACTTTCTTTTTATCCACCGAAGTTATGAAATTTATCAGTCACATTTTGCTTTCTCGATTGCAATAAAAACTCCTTCAAAAGAAAGCATAGGCAACAGTTTGTACCGTCAAACTTAAGCTTCGCGAGAGTAACACAGAAATATTACCAACGTCAATACGAGCACTTTTCATCCCTGATTATCACATGGCTCCATGCAAATTACAGAACAGGCCTCAAAAAGCCTTGAAAAAAAAGAAATAAAAAATTGAACATACAAAAAGTTTAAACGAACTCCTGATTCCCATTAATACTCATTCAATTCTGATCAAATTTTTATTTAATAGTGCGCATTCATACAAACCTCGATTTGAAGCGGATCTTGCGGTTAAAGCACACGGAAAGACACTGTTCGGAGGAGGTAAGTAAGCTTCTAGACGAGGTATGAACTGGAGTACATTTTGCAATGAGAAACTTCTAATTGTGCGATACATTTCAGAGATAACGCATATGTCATTTTCCTTGTAAAGACATGCGCCTCATTAGATGAGCCAGGAGTTTTAGTTCCTTATCGCAAAATCTATTCAGAATTGCGCAAGGAAAACGAATCACATGATGGTAAATCTAGAAATCAGCTCCTAAACACGATACGAGTATTCACAATTAACATGGGTTACATGACAAGAATAAAAACGACGTCATTTGTAGTACTGACTACCCTTTGGTCCCAACGTTTGTTAATATCTCGTTCAAAAGCTGATCACCAAACTTCCCGTTGAGTGAGTGGTTTTCACGTAAAATTATAAGGAACATACAAGTGCGTTTGTTTCCAGTTCAGACGTTGCCTAGTGGCCCAGACACTTCAACCGGACATTCTTAAATCAGATGGAAGTATCCTCATTGTAACCTGAGCTCCGCTTTTCATGTATTCTCACGGGTCTCAGGGCCCATGTCACGATGCAGATAGTTCTCCCCGACTTGAATACGTTTAGTTTGCATTCAAATTAGATTTTGGCGTTTATACGTCTTTTTTTCGTGATTTTAACTTATACGCTAGTTCAACAAAAGTCAGATTTTGATATGCCACAACCGCAAAGTAAGCCATACAGCACATTTTTTGAACAAAATTTTACGCAAAACACGTTGAACATATCGAAAATTTCCAATATTAACTCATAAGTGAGGAATTCGCATCCGTAGTTCACATGATAAACAGTTCAGATATTCTGGTCGCTATAAAAAACCTTAATCAGTCAGTAGGTCAAAGTAGGCATTGAAATGAAGCAAGAGGTTAGGGAAATAATTAAAGCTTGATTTCGCACCTTCCTTCCAGTGGCGTAGCGTGCTATGTGCATTGCGATTTATCCTTTGATCTGCCAGTTATTCCTTTGGAATAGGATTGATAATCAGGGTGATCGCAACGGACACCTTAATAATCGATTCTTTGCCACAGCTTCAAAGGGGGAAATATCGATAGTCAATCACTCACGCCGCGCCACTGATTCCTTTCTCTTCTAATACAAGGATCCTTCGATTTTTATCCAGAACAATCAATGCACAGGAAAATTATTCATTCGTAAAGTACACCAGAATAACTGTATAGTACTGTAGTTTAGAATTGAGTAAATAAACTTTTTTTCCTTTTTTTTTCAAATTAATGTAGACAAGAATCCTCCTTTTTCCTTTGACGAGTTGAATTTGGAAATTTCAATACGTAAAATTTCGACCAAGGAACTATATTTTGACATGCTTGATTTCGCTTGTCTTCTTATGGGCTATTATTTCAATCGGGAATGGTGCTTATCATTGTCCAATGAAGTTTATATGTTTTGGTTGAATCCAGTTTGCCCTGACAAAGTCGGAGTGGAACATTTTAAAGTTAGCTCCATTATTGGGACGCAGAACCGATTTATAAATGTATAAGCGTTGTTGTGAAGTATATCAATTAATCTTCATGAAGGATGCATCGCACGGATGAAGTATTTCAGTAACGTTTCTTGCCTCTCAAAATCGTACTCTACAATATAAAATCATAAGAGGTCCGCGTAACACACGGAGAAAAAAACTTCGTGCTTGAGAGCCGAAGTTGAGGTCGTATGGATCTCTGAAGTTTTCGAATCGCGCATCCAAAAACTTGAGGTCCAGCTGACGAAGTTCGGGTCAAACATCTGAAGTACTCCGATATACCAAAGGGTTCGGTTCACACGTCTGAGGTACTTCGGTATATACTGAAGTGCTTCAAATGTTTGACCCGAACTTCGGCAGCCGGACTTCAAGTTTTCGGATGCGCAATTCGAAAACTTTAGAGATCCATACGACCTCAACTTCGGGTCCCACGAAGTATTTTTCTCCGTGCGCAAACCGCCTAAAGCGAAAAGCGCCATGTGGGTTGGACCGTGAAGCGATCAATTTGAGATTAAAATTTCTTTCGGTCGTGAGCATCTATGTGTTTTACAACCCGTTTTCCTCAAAATTGAAAACGAATTTACTAACTCCTTCATCCGTGATATCTTTCAATTCTTTTTCTTAAGTCCCACGTGCATTACCCTCGCAACACACGGTACATTTTGATCGTTGAGCACGTACACCCAGTAATAGCCCGGAATGCAAACACCGGGATCGTCAGGCACCTTAAAGGAGCACGTAAAGGGGTCCCCGTTCCTTTGTTGTTGTGGTTCTATCTTTACCGAAATTCGCCTTTGATCGGTATTTACAGTGTGTGTAGTGCTGCCTATACGAATTATGCACCCACTTTTTACTTTACTATCGGTTTTCATCGTAATTGTATCTCCGTGTACTGCGTTCTCAGTTGACATACTAATGATCTTAGGTCGGACTGCTTCGTTTCCATCCTTGTCGAAATGATACGGAGGACAGTAAACTTGGAAGTTGGGGTGGTTCGTGGTGCAGGTTCCGCACAAGCCGCTTCCACCTGATGCGATACAACCGTCCTTAAGGAGAACGGCGGTTGAGTGGTAGTTACGAGGGACATTACCCGGAGAAAGTTGCTTCATCGTATTGTCCCTAGGATTGTAGATTTCCGGTATAGTGTGAGATTTATCATCGCTGAACGGCTGGCCAACTTCCTGTCCGCAGCAAATCCAGATGTTCCCATCCGGCATGACCACAGCGTTGTGGAAGATGCGTTTGAAGGCCATTTCCTTCACTGCGCGGACTTCTACATTTGTGTTGGGGTCTTTGATGGTCATGCAGAACGCCTTGTTTGAGGCCTCCGAGTCAGTGTAATCAGGCGATCCGCCGAAAGTGCAGATTTCGCCTTCATCCCACATCACAGCGGTGCCACACATGGCATCATCGTCACCCGCCCGTTTGCCGGCACCCTTAACGGCACCCTTACCGTCGACCGAGTACCAGTTCATATTCTTGCTCGGACCAGCCTGGAAGACGGTGTTACCTTTCCAGCCGAACAGCCAACCATGATTATCTCCCCGGTAGACACCTTGCCTGTCGCCCGTCACCATAGGGTCCACCCGACACCCTGGAAGTCCAGTCCACTGTCTTGTGTCAAGGTCGAATATCTCTCCGTTCTTGTTGCCTTCGCCACCGCTCCACGATCCGCCGATCGTGAAAATTCTTCCGTCCGAGCAGGTGGCGGAAGCGGGGTAGCCGCGCGAAATGGTCATGTCTGGTGCCGGGCTCCAGGTGTCGTCCTCCATTTTGTATATGCTTGTTTTTTTAGCGTTGTTACCACCAACCACAACCATTTCTCCACGTTGGCCCGTGGAAATACCAGGACAGAACATGTCATGATCCGTTTCAGTGACCATGCGTTCTGTGACCGTCATTTTTTCCATATCCACGACGCTAGTCAACGTTTTACCACCTGGACCATTCGTGAATTGGTGACCCATCCAGGAAGCCCATGCTATGATCTGCCCTTTGTGATTTACGGCGCAGGCGGAAGGCACCATAGGCATATCGATGGTGTGAAGCCAAGCTCCCAGCGTTGTGTCCTTCGTAGCTGCGGCGTCTGGTTTAAAGAATTTCAATTCAGCTATGCAAGTCCACGGTTGATCGTCTACCCCTTTCGTGTGAGTAAGGCTGACTTTGCGGCATTCTATAGGCTGGAAGGTCGAGAACTTCGCAAACTCATCCGCAGCCCACGTGCCGTACGCGACAAGCTTGTCGTCGCATCGGATCTCGTGCATATACACGCGTCCATGGTTGCTACCGTCCTGTCGTGACACCAATTCCACGCCACATATGAGCGTGGGATCTCTAAAGTCCATCGTGATCGTGTGCGGTAAAGGCTCATCTTTTGGTTCAAACTTGCTATGCCAGTACGTGCTTGTGTCACCATCTACCGCCGACCCACAACCGTTCCCTTCATTGACGCTGCTACAAGTACAGTCCAAGCCTCTGATGTCTATCGGAATTCCCGGTGGAGGCGCTGAGTCAACTTGAACTTTCGGTCCCTTGCCCGACTGTAAACCGTCTTCTTTCTTTGCTGTAGCGACATCCCCAGCGACAAACATATCAAAAAGAGCCAGGAATGTAAAGAAAATCGTCGAGGGTGAGTTATGCATGGTCAGTCTAGAGTCTAGTAAGTATGTCCAAACCGATATCTCAATTATTCGAATGAGCGGTATTTGATAAAACCCTACGTTTAAGTTTTTTTGTGCGTCCTCAATCTCGTGTGCTGGCATACGGGGGTGTAGCACACCTCGAAATATGATGCATATTCCAGACGTGGAGGACCATAACCGAGATTTAGTTACAATCCAAGTGGAGTCAATCAGTATGTGCACAGTTTGTTGTCCTGGAAAAATAAAAATGATTGATCAAAAATGATGACTGACAATATCATAGAATGTCAGGACGTTTTTCCGCTAGACTGAACTATAGACGAGTGGGTAAGATGGAGTGTGCTAGTTGAAGCTGTATAAGGAACAATGTAAAAGCAGGCGTGATTCCTTTTGGGGAATTCGAAAAGCGAGATTTTAAATTCTACCGAACGGAACTAATCGCCAACTGAATGCGGCACTCATGAGCCTTGGGCATGGGGAAAGAGCGTTGTGGACAGGGCTCTTGAGTTCCGGAACTCATGCAGAGGCGGATCCAGCAATTTGGCAACACCGGATTTCCTCCATTTAAACATATGCTAAATAATCGATTCTTGTCAGAGCACCTGGTCCCTCCAAGATTCGATACATTTCCATAGGTTTAAATGGAGAAAAGACAATGGTACTAATTTACTGGATCCGCCAATGAAATCATGAAAGGACTCAGTTCCGCGGATCCTCGACTCGGTCGTCGCCGCTGACGTCACTGGCGCTTCATGATTCCTATTCATTCTAACGGCCCTCAACTAACGAGCACACCCTTTCTTCCCACCTGTCTCTGGTCTCGTTCAGCTGTACGTTCAACTTTATGAAGATAAATTCAGTTAATCCGTAAAAAAGTCGGATACTTGGCGTCTTCAGCTCTAAATTTAGCGTAATTGAGGGGCCTGTTTTTTTTTCTTCCTCTCAAAATACGATCCGAATACGCCGAGGATACTTTTTGGTTACCTGACTACTAAAATTTAAAACGAATTCTTCTACGTCGCAGAGCAAAATACGTGTTTTGCAAATCGCACCATTAATACATTACCATGTTCCATGTATCCAATCAATAAATTGATCGATTAGGCAAGGCAATTTGGATTGCATTTTGCAAAAAGGAACCACTAGCATTGCAATGTTGCTAAGATTGTGCAACTTCTTTTGTCTTGGAGGAAAAACCCGATTATCCATTAATAGTTTTTATTTTACTCGCTAAAAACTGTGAATTTAAGACAAAAATTACCATCCAAATTTCATAGTTTTTCACGATTTCCGCAATTTTTATTGCAAAGGATGAAGTTGCACAATCTTAGCATCATTGCAATGCTAGTGGTTCCTTTTTGCAAAATGCAATCCATTTTAAGGAGCAACTTATGTGTTTACTTTCCTTGTAGGCTTTGCAAAACCATGCGTATGAATCAGGAAGGTATGGAATTCATTTTGATCCGCAAATGCACACGATTGATTCGATGAATGAAAGTAAGGGTCCGATAAAATGAAATAAAAGGAACCGTGATTAAATGTACAACGCAGATATATCAAACCTATGATTTCAATGGACATGCGCTTTGAAGATGGAACTAAAGAATAGAGACATGCAAAAAGGGTAGAAGTGCAAAACTGCATGAGCCGTGGCCTCCCTTGTTGAGAGTTTCTAGCGCGGACCATGATTTTTCGAATTTTTGCCTTTTTTGCATTCAAATTGAATCAGTGAGTTCGAAAACACACCAACTCGGAAAGAAAATGTTCAGGAAACACCTAAAACTGCGCAGCGGGCGAAGAAGTTAGTTTTAAGAGAAACCTTTTTGGTGCCAAAGGACAAGTACTTAGAGACTTTGTAAAGCACCAAGTTGAAATCGATACACCATGTGTGATGACAGAGAAGTAAGCGTTTAAAAATTTCCGAGTTGGTGTGTTTTCGTTCTCACCGACTTTCAGATACTGATTTTTCATAGTTTGCTTTGAAAAATTCATATTTTTCGACCTGAATAACGCTTGAAATTCATATAACTTGTTGGTACAAGGTATACTGAACCGAAAAAAGAAAACAGCAAAATCGGATGGTCACCCGTTCCCCTCGAAATAGCCAAAAATTGGTATCTCTAATGAAATACTTCGATTTTCCCTTTTCCCGTCGCTGTTTCGAGCACTTCCGATTGCAATTTCGAAATTTCCTTTTGCATGCAGATGCTTCTATCCATAAATGTTACTAAACCGTAAAAAAGTGAAAATCGAAAAAAACCCGAGTTGGTGTGTTTTCGAACTCACTAATTCAATTATTTCATCGATTTTAACATCCGTCATGCAAAAAAGTACGAAAGTCCGGATACCTATGAGCCATGCCAGACATTATTAAACAACGGAGAACGGGGCATATGAGTTTTTGGATATCTGCAATTTTCGTAAGTCTTGGCTCACACACATAATTTCGAGCCGTGGTCAAAATTTCAGAGTTATCAGCATGCCGTTTAAGAATAAATTATCGCATTACAGGGTCTAACTTTTGAGGTATAAATATAATACTAAACTGAAAATCGAAAGGCGGATGATGATCTGTATCTTTAAAAATAAAATCTTCAACTTTCTGTACTTACAAATGAAAAACCTAGCAAGCTTTTCCGACGAAAAGGAAGGTCTTAAAGTGGAGCACTTTTTATCCAGTTAAAAACGCAAAAATTGTACATTTTTAAGTACTTATATTCACCCACCACTTTCCTCAATAACAGATTCTTAAAACACTAGACTGCTCAGGGTCTTGCAGTTGAGTGCAACTAAATTCTGTGCGACTATCATTACTTACAAAACACAATACCCATGTGTTTAATGTTTTCCTCATCGGTCTTACTCGCGTTTGAACTTTTCCCTCTTAAACATGTATTTCATCTGCGGGCTGCTCAGTTCGTCAAGCATATTGTATTCACACAATCGGGGACAGCTCGATTTTAAGGCCACACTACACGGAAAAGCATTGTTCCGATTTGAAGAGAATGAGTTCATGGTGTTCGTCGTTCAAGTTCGATGACAAACCCGTTCAAACGGAACCTTCATTCTTCATTTACGTAATCTTATACTACCGATAAGTTGGGTGATATTTTCTTCCTCTTTTAGCCACAAAATCATCCTGTACATAGCCACTGGTGCCAATCCGATGCGTTTTGAGAGAGATAATCAGATTTTGCTTGGGCTTGAAACCATGTGCAGGAAATATTTCATAACAGTGGAGAGGCGTGAATGATCGATTATCGATATTTCTCCGTTTGAAGTCATGGTAAAGAATCGATTATTAAGGTGATCGTCGCGAGCACTCTCTATCGGTCATTCTCCATAGGATTAAATCGCAGATCAATCGATAAATCTCGCAAAGCACGCCACGCCACTGTTTCATAATACGAGTACCTTTGAGGGGAGATATCTGAAGGAATATGTATGCACACAGTTCGATTGTGGGCCGTGAAAACATTTCGAATCCATGACTTTATACGATTCTACCATTATCTCTATTAGGTAGACAAAGTTCATGTTTCTCAAAAGATATTCTGATTTCTGCTGCAGCTGCCTTCGCACTTTTATTTTTAAGGTTTTGGTGTGTATTTGAATCATGTTTAGACGAAATAATCTATCTTATATTAAATCTGAATTCCTAAAGTTTTCTGTACAAGAACAAGTAGATTTTCAAAATTGATTGACATTTTGTTCTTGGACTTTAAGTACATTGTCAGCAAAAAAAGTTTAGTTTTTTCCCCAAAATAGTAAGATCACCTTTTTTTAACATCATAGATACCGGAACGCTCTTTAAACTCGGAACAACCCTGAGAACAACTAAACGGAAGGAAGTATGAGGGGCTTTGAGGACAAGGCGCATAAGTGCAGTTCTTGAAAAAATTTAGATATTATTGTTTTCAAGCAAAACTAGTCTTGATGCATACTCAGTGAAAAATTCGCTGCCGAATTCCAATTTTTAACCGTTAAAAAGTCAGTTTGAACTTTCTTTCCGCCGTATGGATCCATGTAATTTTCAAACTCGAGACACGTATCGCTCGAAATAGCAAAAACTGCACTTATGCACCTTGTCCTTCAAGCCCCTCATATGGAGTTGGGTTCGGACCGAACATGAAACTATTTTAAATCTGTGGTTGGCCGGATTGCATGCGCTAGATTTCGCGAGAAAAATCTTAGATCTGTCCATGGCATCTGGGCGATGGCGATATACGGCTCTCGAGATTCGTGAATCACGATAGTGTACTGCCGTGCTAAGGAAGAACGCCGTATGAACCTTTAAGCATTGCCAAATTTCTTTTGCTAAATCACGAATTTTTGGGAACATTTGTAAATATTTTTCCACCAATTTTTCAGATAATTTTGGTCGCAAGTTTACTTAATTTAATGTTCTTGAAAATTTCTCGGAAAAACATTCAAACCTTTCCTCAAAAATAAACATTTCATCGAAAGAAATTTGGCAACTCTCGAATGTTCATACGGCGATTTTTCTTAGCATGGCAGTGTGCATGTGTCATCAATATCTTTCTCGAACGTTTGCAACCCAGTCCATTGAGGAGTTAAACAGCTGCGTCTGTTGTGTCCGATCCATCCTTTGTATGTATAATGTTTCCATTGCGCTCAGTGCATTATTCAAATACCGAGTTGGTCAGCCAGAAAGCATCTCAGTTTGTTACCAGCGCGTTACATATCCATCCGAGAGGAGTGTCCAAATATTTGACTGACATAGAGGTCACGCAATAAAAAATACAAATTGCACTCAAGCCCTTTCGCGAAAGCCGTGGGAAGATCTCAGATTTTGCCCGCACAGTTGAAAGTATGCAACTCGGCTCACCGAAGAGTTAAAGTAGTTGGGTCCGAACCCAACTTCGAATATTCTTCGCTCTTTTTACTTTCCGCAGATGACTCAAATGCCTAGTGATTTGGTCTGTAATGTTTTCCCTCTTTAACTTAAGAGCCTAAAGGCAGTTGTACGAGAGAGAAAG